TTTTACTGATAAAGCTTTCTCAATATTATATCTGAATGCAAGAAACTCATTCAAACCATTTAAACTTAACTTCTGTTTTTTTCTGGAAACAGTATATATATAATATTTTGTATACAAAATAATATAGTTAATGGGCATGGGAGCATTTTCAGTAATTCCAAAAAGTATTGTTTCCAACTTAAAATCAATGATTTTCCTTATTCTGCTAAATATTCTCTCTTTTAAATCTTGCCATAGCTTTAAGGACTGTGGACATTTCCAAAATGGATGTTCTGTAGTTTCTATTTGTATTTTACACATATAACAGATATTGTCATTTGACATCCCAATAGTATTTAAATAGTTTTTAATTGGGAGGATACAATTTTGTAATCTGTATTGAAACCATTGCAGTGTTGTGTCTTTTGTAACTATAAAGACAATACTATATGAATTTTTCCAATTTATATTTCTTAAAATTTTCTTTCAATATCCATTTTCTTTCAGCTGTATTTACTAATTTAATTTTACTATTTAATATGTCATACATGTCTTTACAACTTTTTTTTCTTTATGATAATATAAATTTGACTTGGTATGAAGGGCCTCTCCAAAGTTGTTTCTGCAGTTAAGTTTTAATTTAATTGTTTACAACATTGCCTAATAGACTGGCATATACTATGATAAATCAAGAAGTTTCCAGAGTTTATATTGTATTTCAGTTTAAAATTTACAAAAGTTAAAAAAACATTATTTTGCTCTAATAGATCACAAACATTTTTAACACCCCGATCAAACCATTTTCGGACAAAAAAAAGACTTTTTGCCAATACCAAAAAGTGGGTTTTCCAGATTGGGAGAGTTAAGAACTGCTTAATAGATTTTACTTGGGCTACTTCTGAAACATTACCCATGCCTTAAAAACATCCTTCCAAAACATATTACTAGTATTATTTTTTTTAATAAAATCAATTCCCATATCCGATATATTTTCTACTGGAAAGTGCTCTGCTTCAAAAATATGTATCCAGCCGAATCGATATTGGTTTGATTCGCCATTTCGTACATATTGATCGACATCGATTTTATATTACCAAATCATACATATTAAACACCTCTGTGTACATACGCTTCATTGGTCATTTGTCTGATGAAGTGAAAGAGTACATACGTTCATACTTTTGCTGATTTCACTGCATGAACCTTTCTACAATAAAGAGAACTTACCAGGTAAGTGAGTATGACGTAGTTAGATCCTATCACCTGCTTTGTGGCAGTGCCACCGTTTATTCCAGCAGTACTTCCTGAAAAATCAATTTATATTAATCAATACAAGAACGATTAAGAAATGTTATTCTCTTTCCCTGGACAGGTTTATCCTCACTTTTACTGGTGTGAGATATTCTTTTCTCCCACCCTTCACAGTTGTAGCTATCGTTTTAACCGGGAAAGATTAGCGTGTCACCTCCTAAGGGGAGATAGCCTCGTGCCGATTAGCAGCCGTGGTTTAGACAACCAAACAAATCACCCCGATATTTATCTATCAGACTCTCAAGGTAGGGAAATATTCTATTAGTCTCAACCTCGAGTTGAGACGGGGGGATTTCTCTATTCATAACAATGGTATGACGTCACGTCAACAATACAATGACGTCATGTCAACAATGCAATGTCGTCACGTCAACAATCCATCAACGTCATTTCAACCCTGAATTTGGCCTGTAACGTTAACATTTCAATATTTATATGCTACACAATGGGAACAGGATAAGAGAAAAATAATCTCTCACCCCCTTGGGTGTAAACAAGGGGAATCTCAACCATCGAGAAAGATCCTTAAGTTACCAAATACTTAAGAATCTTCCCCCTCGGGTTAAGATTTCCATATTTCTATTATGCTTTATCCGACGTAACAGTATAGCACATTATTCAAAAAGTTTCATTGATATGCCTTTGTTCTTAGCTTCGTTGGTGAAATTCAAACATCATGACACGTTCCACAAAGTAATGCTTTCGTTATATTTTGTTTTGTTATTGTTCGCTTATTCTAATTTTTGCGCCATATCTAATCAGCAAAATAAGCATATAAACTCTAACAAAATGTGTTACAGGAGAAACCATTCAATATCAAATGTAATTTAACTAGACAAGTAAACATAAACCACCCTACGCATCAGAGATTAACTGTTTATTTTATAATGTTAATCGGTTGTTTAATCATACTATCTTCTTTATTGATGTCCCATATCCAGAACTAACTACGGTACTGCAGGTCAAGATAAGTATAAGATATGCTCATCAGATAAACTCTAAGGAGAGTTGGGTCCCACTAACATTTTAATTTTACAAAATACCCCTAGATATTATTTATTTATCATAATTGACTGGATTGGTACATTAATAAAGCATTGACATTTTACAAAATTGTGTTAAATCTGAGTAAACAATTAACTTACCATCCGGTTTCTGTACGTGTGGGACCGGAAGACCACTGTCTCCTTGGACTTTGATGCTGAAAGCTTTGCACGTGTGATCAATTGGAATGTTAATAGAAGCACATCCGGTACTGCCACCTTTGATAATGTCACGGATTATTTTTACTTCGGAATTAGACAACGAACCCTGAAAAATACAAACAAAAACACTATAGACCAAAACTTATCAAAAGAATGTGTGAGAAAGGAAATAGGAAAAGAATGAGGTACGGTGTACATTAATGTATTATAGATTCGTGTTGATACAATTGCCTATAATTCTACGTTTTCTAGACGATATACTGTGAATTATCTTGAAGCGGGCATATCTTTGTTGATAAAGTACACTGTGTATTTAAAATCAATATCATAAATGATATAGTCCTGATCAATTGAAATATATAAACGCATACTTTCAAAACATCAACAGTTGTAGCTACGTTGGATGAAGTCGTTTGAAACACGTGACCACCAGATGCTTGAGCAATCCATGTGAAATAGTCCATGCCTGCCCAAGAGGTCGGTGTGGAGCGTTTACTCCGTCTGCTGCTCACTGAAAATAAAATAAAAAAAATAATGCAAAAGTTCCATTTACGGATAAAAGGTAATAATGTAATATTTTTATACACAATACAGATCAGCAAACTAATATAAGTTTAAGTCTGACTTGAATATTAAATTTTTGCTGCGTCTCTTACATTATGATTAATAAGATATAGTGTAAAATATGACAAACTAGACCATACCGACTGATCGCTTTCCTACATGTGAGTACAGGTGTCCTTTTTCACGCCTTAGACTGAAACCTCTGTTATCGTGTCCTTCTATGACGACTTGGTAATCCTGCAACGCATCAATGTATATCATATAAAATCATGCCAAAACGGCATCATAATTGAAACTTATTTAGTTTACAATACAATGGTTTGTAAACACCTTACTTGAAGATATTGCATTAAGTCAGTTGAATAACAAAACATATTGTATTTCCAAAATAATCAACATAATGACATTATTATTGGTAAGCAAAAAAAAAAAATGCTTTAATTAGAAAAATAGGACAGTTTCATCTGACGAATTCGCCACAAAAATCCACCATTTCATCTATTCCTAAGTTTATATCTGCAGTTCAAAAATATATCATTACGGTACCTCCCCTGGTAAGAAGACTTGTCCAATAAAGGACTTCCGGACATCACTTCCGTTCATTGGTGACAACAATGTTGACGTGATGGCCTCACCGTATTCGTCATCGAGAATCACATGACTCACCAACACGTTCTCGCGGGATTTTACATCAAGAGAAATGTCGTAAAGCGTATCTGTAAAAAGGTAACAGAATTTAATATAAGATAATTTGATGCAATGTTGAAATGTGTCTTTAAATTACTGAAAGTGTGCATCACACTGATTAAATACAATGTACCTTTTTGTGAAGTGCGCAGAAACTCGTCCATTTCAGTGAAAGTAGACTTTTTTAATTTGAAGGAAAATGTTGTTGTACTTTCCCCGGAAACTTTCAATTTCCAGTCACTTTTGTCAAGTCGATATATCTTCCATATCCCAGGTGTTGGATTCTGTAATTAAAAATAGATTATGTCAAGCATGTTGATGGAGAGCAAACATACATTAACAATAATGATAAATAATATACAGCATTTGATATAGCGCCCTATCTAACTAACTTAAGCCACTCTAAAGCACTTTACAGTACAGATATATACAATTACATTAATCAATACAATTTTTGAGGAATTCGCAGGAGCTGCCTTATCAGGTGCTAACTACTAGTTCTATGAAATCTGGCTAATACCTCCCTATGTGTGTATGCCTGTGTGTATGCTGAAGATGTAATGTGTTATATTGGTAGTGGGACCGTGCTTCGAACGGCATCATTCATAGTGCCACCTCACTTGAATGCTACAGCACAGATACCGCAACATCAACTCCAGACTAGTTTTCACTCAACCTCGGTTGTTCTGTGGGCAGGAGAAAAACACTTTCTCTGAATATCCATGCGTGCGACGACTTGGGGGATCGAACCCCGGCCGCCTGCATGGAAGGCTGTGGTGTTAACCACTCGACTAATCCGCCCAATGTCTTGTCCGCATTAACGAAAACAATATTTATGAATAGCATCTTTTTCACGGAAATCATTTTTCTAGTATGTTGTATTAACATCCTGAAAGGTTTGTATACCGAGATTATCATTTCCAGTTTGTTGCCTGCCAGCTGGGTTCCGGAAGCTTCCTCCCCATCTAACGATACATAGGACCCTATGAACAAATATGTAAGGCATTGTTAGTATAAAAGCATAGAAATACAACAAATACTAAAACCAAAGTTTATTTAACAATCATCCGACAACGTCTGTATCATCAAAATGATCTGTATTTCAATGTTAAACATTGGAGGTTATTGAAACGTTTTTTACTGATGATGCTTTGTTGTAAGATATGATTTTGAAATATTATGTTTTTAAAATAAATTATTTAAAACACAAACAGTATGTAAAAACAATCAAATTGTAACAAAACTGTAATTCAGTGTAGGAATACTACTAAATTAGATGCGTAAGAGTATTGGAAGCACCATTTTAAAATATTTTAACATGTGAGAAGATGATAAAAGGATAAAACAAATGTTCAGTTCCATTTCAGTTTGTGTGTGTAATAGAGCATTTACAGAAAATGCGTTCTAAGCACAATCATTTAGAAAGTAGGCCATCCGCAATATATGATTCCAGATTTAGAAGCTTCTTAATTGTGACAAACTAACCGTTTGGTTTTTGAATGGCGAAGTATGGTATCCCCACATCTCCCTCGATCTTAACCACAATACTGTTGAGGGACGCGTCTACGGGGATCTGTACCAGGGAGGAGTCGTCATGTGCAATCGTTTTTTGAAGTATGATCACCTGATCAGTACCTAAAGCCTGGAAAATATAAGATTTTACACATCGCAGTATAATCATAGGTTGATTGAATTAACATTACGAGCGCACAAATGCTCTCAATGTCTAAGTAGCCTTCATTAGTAAAATAGCAAAAACGTTTCGGGAGAAACAAATATATATAACAACAAATGATATAGGCAACAAGATCTTCTCTGCCGTCACCCATGGAATGAGAGAAAAGAGTCCATCAATAAAAGTTGATTTCCACAGGGATTGTGTATAGTAGATTAAATTATAAGGATTAACTTGAATATATTTGTTATGTTATGGAGCTATAACACCAAAAAACCGGAGTGTACTCTCATCATAAACCGCGAAGCGTTTTATTTAGAGTACACTCCGTTTTTTGTTATAGCTCCATAACATAAAAAAGATATTCCAGTTAATCCTTAAATGAACAAATATTGACCAAGCCCCGTTTTGATATAATGTTTTTTTTTATTTATAGAAAAGTGATTTACCCTTTTCCTTTTAGCTAAATGTTGTTGAGTAGTTGCCATCTTGCCCGTTATGTCATCATAATGATGATAGGCTTGTTGAAACTGTCCGTTACCTACATTTAAAACAGAAATGAAAAATATCATATGTTTATTGTTCAATGGAAATGAAACAATCGTTCTTGATTTTATTGACGTATTTTGACTACGTGAAAGTCTAATTGATGTCAGTTTTATCACCATTTGCTTTAGCTATCCTGATCTAAACTCCTGCCAATTTCTCAAGAAATTTCCACATGCATCAGATAAGAAGCATTGCAGATGCATTGCAAAATCCTATGTAAAACGTCGTTTTCACTCCTGTCTCATTGCATGCACCATAAACAACCGTTACCATCAGCAATGTTCGTTAACTTAATTGTCATGAAAACCTCTACCAAACTGAATAAGCGCTGGATTAACTTTAATAGAAAGTTATACACAATTTGACTCTTGTCATTTAGAGATTAATTTATTGTGCTTCGGATATTATCTGTGCTAAAGAGGAAAGGCATACTATAGCGCCAATCCACATCAACAAAATTAGAACAGAAAGTAGAAACGAAAGGACAGCAGCATGGACCAACGAGACATCAAATCAGAAGGAGGGATACCTGAGGTAGTTACGGAGATGGTTGTTACATGTTTTATTCTTGATTTAAACGTGTCCCTTGTGTCGTGAAAACTACAAGTTGCTTTTCGTTTTCAAGAACTTTAAGTTTCAGTTATACTGAAGCTATATTAATTTTAAATAAGTGTTTATTTAAAGCATATTACAAAAAGGTACTTAATACCCAAAGAAGGTACCTGTACTCGCAATTTTATCATCACCTACTTTGTAACATCTGTGCGTCCACAGACCGTCGCTGGACAAAGTGGGCGTTGTTACTATCACATGACCCTGTGACGACAAAGTCGATATGAAGATTCTTTTCTGACACGATACTGAGAATGTATTGTTGTTTCTCTGGGTCTTTGGCTGTTGCGTCCGTGAACACATACACGTTAGAGCTGGGCTTCGCCTTCACCACCGCTATGAAAACAAGGAGATTGTTCCAAAGGATGTTTACCTGTTCATTTTGAAGCATTACATATATCATAAAGCTTTCCTTCATGACATGAACTAAAATGGCAATTAAAAAATACAGCACGGTATTTTAGGCAATCCTTCTATGTTTTGCACACTTTACAATACCAGCTCGATGGGATGTAAATATACATGCAAATTCACAGGTTTTGAAGTCTATATAAGTAGCAGATACCACAGCTAAATGTGTAAGACAGCGTATATCCTTATTGATACGGTATCATTTGATGGTAACAAATATATGACACTGGTTGGATACCTGGTTAACGTCCACATCACTTGTTTCTTGTACAAATGTATAGGTGAATGTGAGGACGTTCACATAAATAGAACAAATACTAATTATTATTCCCTTTCTAAACGTAGACCTAACATTGATATGTTATGTAACACCCTTCCTTTACATTAGTTCCTTTAATTTACTACAATGACAATTGGCAGTGTATCATGCAAGTGGTATCCTAGTAATGTACGTACCCGCTTTAAGGCCAGACATGACGTATTCGGGGCAGTCTCCCCCGCCCGATACCTGGATTGCGTTCACCCAGTTTACGATATCGCTGGGGTTTGTTGATTCCTGCACGGTCGTGGCGCTCTCTAGTACAGGAAATTCATGTTTATTGGAGGATTATGTAATAAATTAGTAGTTTGAAAATTCGACCGATAAACAAAGCATAAAAAGTGCGTTTCAATTATCATTTTCATATCGATTAACCAATCCATTATGTAAATATATCCTTATGATTTCATTACAAAACTAAATAGTAAATATTACATCTTTCATATTTTTATACGATCAGAGTAACTCTATCAATGGCGCATTGACCAATCAGCTATCTTGTTTCCCCGAGCACGCCATTACGTAGTCGTATTTCTAAATATATCACTGATACGCGTGGAAAGAGAGTAGCAAAATAAGACTTTTTCTCAAAAAAAACATATATAATTAAATATAAAAAGTCGTTATTTGTATTGAGCTCTCCTCGTTTAAGTTAACGGGATTTCTAAACTCTAGTATTGTGATGCATGCGTTGGAAAGGTTTATCACCTAATTTAACTCATTTATATACAGTGACTACTTCATGCTTACCCGGGTCACTGAATGTAACAAGAATATAGTTGTATGGCTGGAGCCCTGTTCCCTTGGTCAGGTTTATGATTTCCTGAGTTTTCGTCTTTACTGCCTGAACCACACTCCCCATAGATCCACTGATGTCTATTACAAATACCAACGAGTTCCCAGGACGTAGTTGGAGCAATTCCTCGAATTTATCATTTCCAATTGCTTTTAAAATGCCATTGACTGCAATTGTAAAAATTGAAGTCAAAATCATTAAAACACGTGACAGGCATGAAACTCGAGTTATTATGAATATGAGCAAATAACCGTGTTATATACTTTATATCATCACCTTTATACTATCCAAATTTTGTCGTTACATATATCTTTACATTGAACAATGTACAACCTTACCTGGATCTGTGAGGAAGTACTTGGTATGTGCTATGGCTGCTTTCCCCGCGTCAGCGTGCTTGAAGAAATGTGGAGACAAATTTACGTCCTTGGTGTCTTTGTTGATTCCCCCGAGAGCTGCGATAGTTTCCCCCGATCTATCGTGTAAACCCCCATGGCTACATTTACCATTGGTAAAAGTGGTGGGATCCTCTGAAAAAAGGACATTGTGATAATGTAAGTATGATACACTTTTTCGACCGTTAAGGTGTTTTTTTATTATTAAAATTATCATTATCCCATTATCTTACTTTGCGTTGCATAAGTAAGTAAAACACAATCTTAATTGTAGATTAATGGAAACTGTCTGTTTCATGATTACGAATAGTCGTCCCATTCATTAAATTTAACGTTATTTGCATTTTAAGAAATTACATGTATTATTGATTGGCAGACCTCTCGACAACAGGAGCCCTGATAACAGGAATCTGCTATACAGTATTTTATTGATAAAGAAAAAATCCCCAAAAGAAGGGGGATAAACTGTACATTAACCTTCTCTTTTCATCTTTGATAACACCTTGAAATTTGACATCTCCACTTTTCCAATTTCGTTTAGTTAATCAGAGTTAAGAAAACAAACGTAAGTGACTGTTGCTGAATGCTTTGACTATATCGAATTAATCATTAATAACACGAATGATTTATTTTCTTTGTTAATCGTATACAAAAGAGTAAGTATGATGGACAAATTATTTTTTACTTACTGTTAGGTTTCGTGATGTCCTGTCCATCACGATATCCACTGGTCAGTTCATGTGGAAACCCCATCATGTTAATGAAGCAGGGAAATCCTATTGATGTTCTAATGGTAGATGATGTGGTAACGTAACAATATAACATTATAAATAAAGATGGTGAAGAAAGCTCTGTCTTGATCACATTTAACAAAGACGAAAACATCTCAGTTATTTTACATTAAAAATTAATGGTTTACTATTTCGATACTAGAGTTTATTTAAACATAAAAATAAGCAGGACTTATTGTAATGAAAGTCATTCCCAAACATACACACACACACAAAACTGCAGTTGAAAATAGTCAAGCTATGGTGTTTTTGGACATTTAGCATGCAGAAATGAAAGGCTTTCAAAAGTGTAGAGTGGTTTATTGATTTCCTTCAAAATGGTAAATTTTCAACCAAAAAGAGCAAAACAGGCGATATAACGTCTCTCTTTGTACTGTTATATCTCCTAAACCAGTTGTCGAATGAATTTGACATTTCATATATGCGTACTCCATTAATTCCAGATAACGAATATAACAATTAACTTAAATTCCCGATGAGGCCGGAAATGACCCATAACGTCTATAGTCCTTTGAGCGAAATTTGTCGATATTTTAATTTGGAACATTTAGAGGCTACAGCAACTACGGTGGTCTGAAGGCAGTGCGCATTGCCTTCCATTCACGAATACTCCTATATTGAATTGTCAGATTGTTTTTGAGAAAAGTAGCGGAAATCCCATCGACGGGAGAAAGAGGAATGCATAAGAATAATGACGAAAAGAATGAAAAACGGGGCAAAAAATAATATTTTCCGGAAAACGAATGAATAAAATTTTCGAACACTTACCCACAACTCTTACACATATCAGTTGAAGGCATGGCGAGGTTTGTCAATGTTTTACCAGGCAGACCTTTTAAAGAATGACAATGGTTTGTGATAAAATACACAAGCTTCTATTATATTCATTTAGTATCTTTTTATATGTTATTAAATCAGAAATATCAAATCGAAAATCACTTCTTTTGAAAGGCAAGTTTAGAGAGGAACATTCCTTTTGTCAACGTTTTTTCTTTGGTTGACAAATTTGTTTCAGGAATGTGTTACGTAACCACTTTAAAACCTCCACTGTTAAGTCTATCAGTGATCGGCTATAAATCTTCAGTGATTGTACAGGAGAAGGAAGTTGCCTATATATACTATTTTGATTTGTGTCCCATTCATAAATTAAGTACAATGGATGTTATCAATTAAGTACACTTGATGTTCAATTTACTTCATACTAATATATATAGAGAGAAATAATGGCCTTTATGTAACTCGTAACTGTTGTATAGGTTGATCAGGAAGAGTGATGTTTTCATATGCTGATAACGAGTGTTTTATAGAAGCTATCTCAAATTAGAACTGTTCGGTAATTTACAACATTATTTTGCAGTTTATTAGATTGCATATTGTGGTATTACACATTGGGTGTATAATGGGTAAGACGTCGTCACATCCTTTGCTTTATATACATGGAGACATTACGCATCATTATCAGTGTTTTATGATCTCGTTATACAAACGTTGATTACAAAATCGCCTTGGCTTGACAGCAACAATAAAATTAATCAACTCCGCATGTTCAAAAGTATGCATCACCGACATTATATACGATAAAAGTATAACAGACATGATCTGATATACCTTCAACAAAATAATACATCTTTTGTGAATAATACAAGTGTTATCTCGTCTGTCAATGCATGCTGTCAGCTTTTAATCTAAAATATAACTAATACTTGAATTCCTTTCTGCAGATTTTCTCGTAAACTGAGGGATCTAAGAAACGTTCTTGTCAAAAACCCAGACGGCAAAGCAGAGTTTTTTTCGAATGTGTAAACCATTGAAATGTTTACAATGACTATATAGTTCTTAGTATTTCAGCAATTGTTTTGGCCGTTGAAAGGGCCGCTTCGATTTCTGTTTTCCTTTTGATAAATGTTACAAATACATTCGTCTTTTTCAAATCCATTAGCTGTTTTTCATTGTTTTCTTTTTATGCTTACACTATCCAACGTAGAAAAAAAATAGTCTGCGTGTATACGTGCAGTGTGATCTTTAAATTATATTTATTAACATGCGTCAACATATCAACATCGTAAAGTGGTATTTCTCATCTGTTTTTTTAATAAACACCCCATTAAAACAATACTTTGATTTTCTTACCTAAGTCTGAGTATATGTCCGCGTTGTTCTGTAGCTCTACCCAGTTTGTGTTACTATAAAAAGACTGGATGATGTGGAAATACTGGCCGACCAACTCTCGGGCTCGTTCGTAACTTGGGCTGACGGCGCCGAGAACTTGCAGCAAATTATCCCGCAGCTGATTCAAACGCGTATGAGCTGCAATCAATTAAAAATTGCTGTTGTTTTTTAAATCAATTGTACCTCATTCGTATTTTTAACACGAAGAACAAATTCGACGCAATACATAAAATTACTTAAAATAAGATATTCTAGAGTGGATTTTTTTATATAATATATATTCTAATAGCAAATGAAGGATAACACTTAGGCGGAATGTGTCAGCTAATGCTAATACAAAAGATTAAGTTGAACAGTACTACAATATACGCTTACGATAATAAACGATTTTGTTTTTTCTTTTGTACCGATGTATTGTTTATAAATTGATTACATACAAAGGGTAAGTCATATTACAAGCTGGATACTTGTCTCCTTGCAGCTTATTTTCGTAAATGAATTTTTAACATTGTTTTCTGGAATATAACAATTAAAATCAGATGAATAATGCTGTAAATAGCTACGTACGGGTCAAAGGTGGTAATCGTTTTAGGAGAAGGGCTAAATATAAGATGCATTTAACAATTAGCAAAGGTATTCATGTACGTATATCAGCTTCTGTACAATCGTTTATTTCCATAGATAGTGTTCACTTTAAGATAAACACGCATCATAAAAGGCATGTTTAGAAGATTAAGGTGTTCTAGAAGTGGTAATTACTCACCCTGTGGGATTTGCTCCCCGTTGACATACCACACTGCTTCCCGGTAATGTTCCTGGTCCACTTTGGTATTCTGTTTCACGATATCATTGATAGCTTCCTGGAACCGAGTCTCCGAGGACGTGTCTACAACATCGATTCGTGATTTAAAGATATAACTGTCATTATATAATATATATTAAAATATCGTTGTAAACCACTCAAACTATATTTTGCACTAATTAGTTTTGTTTTTAGTTTTTTCTTTGTTTTATTGGTACACGTGAGAGTTGATTCATTAGATGGATTGTCTCCCTTGGTATGTTTGTTCCAATCATGTCACAGTTAATATATATACATTTACATATGTGAGCATGTGCGTTGTTTAGTAAAGGAGAACATATCAATCATGTACGAAGAATGACATATTTGCCTTGTATGTTTATGATACCATAGGAAGGTTACGCGTATATCATAGTAATTGTTTTGATTGGTTAGGATTTATACTACTTTGCTATGCGATGGAGACCCTACTGTTTATAAATATTTCATCTAAAGTTACATACCAAATCCTTATTTTTATAATATATGCTACCTTAATATGACATGAAGGAAGTTATGTCTTATGACATCATTTCTTTGGCTTGGAGGACACTACTGGTTATGAGAATTTAGTATTATCATATGCATGACCTATGTTATAAGAAACCATGTCTTCCTTAAAAGCTAGTTAAATTGATTATTGAAACTATAATAAAATTGACAAAATATACTACGATGCGTCGATACACATTCACAGACATTGAGGAAAAGGAAAGATGCAAAGAACAAGAGTAAAACTGGCGGTGAAAACTCAGGTCCTCCGAGAGAACTACTTGTACTCATATCATCGTGGTTGACATTAGGATTTAACAGTTGGAAAACAGGTCATTATCTAATGGAAGAGAGAAAAAATAAGCTACTGGGTTTCTTGGCCAACTCTAACTAAATAGTTTTGATATTTTAACAGGCTCTCTAATTGCAAAGCGCATGAAAGGCTGGACTATTATTTCTGAAAAGGGAGAGCTTACTGTTGTGAAGTTAAAGTCGCTCCCGTGAGTACATGTGGACTACACAAATGACTATGTTCTGGCGGTACGGTGACCATTATTGTCGTACTGTAGGTAAATTGCACAGAGCTCGATATTAAGGCTGCCATTTTTGTCAAAAGACAGGCGAATGTGATATTATTTGGTAGTAAGACGATTATTACAGTCATGCTGAAGCTTAATGTGGAATAAGGAAGCTGGAAGAAGTATATTGTTTGTTAAGTTTTAAGTTCATTAAGATAAATAAGATGTAAGTAGTTTTCGATAATTTTGTTACTCAATGTAAAAACATTATCGATATATCTTAGCATAACATCAAAGTATCAAGTATCCTAGATATCCTTTATTTCCTTTCTCTTTTAATTATTCTATTTCTGATACAAAGAAAGTAGAAGTATCATTATCAAAGCACCTGATGCAGTCCGTTTATTTTATTTCTGGGCGATTGATTCAAATTCGAGGCCATTGGTGTACAATGCTGTACACAGTTTGGCTGCTAGGACAAGTAGGAAGTATAAGAAGCAAGCAAACAAATAGTAACTTCTTGTTACATATATTAGGAATTCAAATGGTTAAAGAAAATAAGAAAATAATAATACGGGGCCATAATTTTGAGTTTTTTTTATATGCGTGTATAGTTTGTAAGCTGTACTAGATTCATGCGATTTTTCTATGTGAACATACAAGGGGTGTAGGTTTAAATAAAAGTATCCAAAATGTGTAAGTGCTCTGACATACTCAGTACTTATATAATTATAAACATATGCTGCTTTTAACTGATGAAATTTATCGCATAAAAATACCTTGTGTACACATCATGTCACGTACAATAATTGTTTACATTCTCTTATCTTTACTTTAATTGTCACGTATTTGATGTTGTGTACTTGCCTACCAGCTCACTTAGGATTTCCATGGGAAGTCCGGTTCCCTCCCACATTAAGACACCTACGAGCTTCCATTCGAATCAAGAAAAATAATTAAAATAGTTTATAATTTTTGTTTCATAGTTGTTGTAAAATGACCTTAGTAACGACTTTACGTGAAATTGATTATTGGACAGAAAGAAGTAATTAACGTGGAAGGTAAGAGTAGGTAACAACGTGTTACGTGAACATGGTAAACGTGACCAGTTAAATGTTATTTGACAGAACGCTGGCTTTACAGCAGCACTTTCATGCTAAGTGCAAAACTGTTTTTGATTGCTGTTTTTGACTGATTGTCTTTTATTTCATTTTTACTGGCAGCATTTAAAACGGACACTGGTTTTAATATAGAAAAATCAAAAAATGAATCGCTATAACGCTTTATATACAGTTTTATCTTCAGTTACTTGTTTTCGAAAAAGTTCAGAAAAGTATTTATTTATTTATATTATTTGTTTACTTTATTCCTCTTCTATAGGAAAAAAGATACCAGACCAAACCTGCGTTGGGTGGTTGGGTGGCACAGTGGAAAGTGCACTTGCCTTTCACCCAGGCGGCAGCGGTCAATTTCCCAATCGGACGTGAAAAGGTGACGGGTCACGAACCCCGATCACGTAGGTTTTCACTTGGTACTTTGGTTTTCCGCCACATTAAGGTCCCCACGTGCCCTAACATCTTTGCTAACATAGTGTGATTGATAGAGTGATAAAACATTGTTTGGTAGTTGTCGTAAAATAAATTAAGTTATGTTTTTTTAAACCCGCGTCTGATCCAAAATTTTAATCATTTGGATAACTGTAACTAATACCTTCACATGCATCATATATCTAGGGAGTTCTGCTTATTACGTCATCCCAAACATCGGGAGGAATTGCTCTACTTAAATTTAGACGGTAAAGCGATCATTTGTCATGAAAAGAGGTATCTAAATATTGAGTTCAAAACCACCCTTAGTTGTTTCGTTCGGAATTGCCTACAGGTCACACGAACCAATTCAAGTGTTTACTAGAAATCCTAAGTAGAGATTGAACGTTTATAGATATAAGAATAATGTCTGCAGTGGACACGTCAATGGTTGATAAAACCATTGATAGAAAAGTTTGGCAGTACAGCAAGCCTGTATACATTTCCTAAGAGAAATAAAAAGTCTCCATTGTGTAATGCTTTATTCAGAATAAGACGATCCTTATCCCAAATCCTTACTTCAATATCCGATATTTATATGGTGATTGAATTGACAGATTCAATCTCGTGCTTTCAAACAAGTCACTTGTCCCTAGTACTAAATTACCTAGGCATAAACCGTTTGGTTAATATAAATGGTATCAAGCTCTGAAATTCCAAATTTTCTTTATTTTACAATGAACTTTTCCACAATACCAATGCATGTGAATCGTTTACATGTTAATGATCTTATATTTCTTATCGCAAAACAAACTTTATCTAAGGATCAATGATACCGTACATGAACATCATTGCACATAACACGACACACGTATTGAGAATAAAGGAGGGGCGTTGACATGCGTAATGAACACTTTGGGGTTAATCACGTAATGCCATGAGGATGATATCTACAAATCTATACAAATGGACCACGAACATATCACCCCATGGTTTGGGAGATAGAGGATCATAGCTGTCTCCAAACTTACTTAAGATTGCAAAATCTATATTTTCCTAACATTAGCTATAATGAAAAAAAACATGGACGCTCTTTAATAATTGTAACGTAAACTGTACTTCAAAAAGTAGATGGCTCTGTAAATTTGGAATCCAGTTAAATATTGAGAGTAATATAAAAACAAATATGAAAGATGAGCTGGAAATGCAACAATGGAAATACCAGAACCAAGAGAAAAGTAATAAGATTATCATTATAGTTTCTTAAACCCTTCTATTTCGAGACCAAATACCTAAAATATTAACTCAGCGGATGTTTTGCCTATTTATAGTTTTTGTGTTTTTTGTCTTTATTTGCGTTGCTACTCAAAATAATTCGCCCCTAAAGATTAAAATCCGATATAATATATAAAGGATTATGACCATGAACGTGCAACAACACAGATAAAGATATTCATATATTTGCACAGGAAACAATATTCAAATTTCGAACTTAAGATATTTTCTTTTCCTGCGTAGCTGAGTTTGTCTAGCATGGTATCATAATGTTTCTGTTGCAGTAATTCTTATGGGATTTCAAAGTGATTTAACACATATTTTATCCTTTTTTTGTTTGTTTACTAAGGTTAAATCAATTTCGGAAACGGATTTATATAAGTTATTTCAACTTGTTTCCGGATCCCATTCCTCTGTACTTTGTATGTTATGTGATATAATGCAACCTAATTTGGAATGAAATAAAGTTTATATTAATCCAATTCTTGTTGTTCACTAACTTATCTTTAGGAGATTTTTGCTATAAATTACTGATATAAATAGTTGACAAAAATTATATTTCTAATGTTACAGAATAGAAAAATATCTTTATTCAAACAATGTTAGACTAAAGAACATTCTCTAAAATGTAATGTGGACATTAGAGCTATTTTACCCACAATACACTACGTTTCCTATTGATCCTGAACAACTGTACAATTTATTTTCCACGAGACAATTAAAACACCACTTGATGTCTCAATATCCTCGTTGTCGCGTTGCATGAGCTCTTTATATAAAGCACGGCTTATACAATAATTAAGATAAGCACAACGATTACTGATTTCATCCTTATTGTAAATTAAGTAATAATATAGTGTGTATACACTTACTAGCCTCAATTATGTGTAACTTCCGTATATGTCTACTTGAAAAGTTTATATCACCCGCACAATTGTGCACACGAGACAAGTAATATGGTTTGCCTACACAGGACAGGTAAAATCACCGAATGACATGTATTCCGATGCCTGATATAAGGCCATAGGGGCTTCTCTATCCTTGACAGATAATATGATCCGAGGGCTTGATGTCCCTAACAGGTAATATCATCCGAGGGCTTGTCTATCCCAGATAGGTTAATAAGACCTGTTATAATGTATACCGGGCAGGTAATATCACCCGAGGGCTTGTCTATCCCAGATAGGATAATAAGAACCGGAATAAGGTGTACCGGGGCAGGTAATATCACCCGAGGTCTTGTCTATTCAAGATAGATAATAATACCAGAGATAATGTATACCGGGGCAGGTAATATCACCCAAAGATCTGTCTACCAGAGACATCTAAAACAGGTAATATAACCCAAAGGGCTAGTCTACCCCAGGGGTGATAACACCCAAGGTCTTGTTTACCCAGACAGGTAATATACCCCAAGGGCTAATCTACCCCAGGGGTGATGCCACCCGAGGTCTTGTTTACCCAGACAGGTAATATAACCCAAGGGCTAGTATATCCCAGGGGTGATGCCACCCAAGATCTTGTTTACCCAGACAGGTAATATAACTCAAGGGCTAGTATATCCCAGGGGTGATGCCACTCGAGGTCTTGTCTACCCAAACAGGTAATATAACCCAAGGGCTGTTCTGCCCCAGGGGTGATGCCACCCGAGGCATTGTCTACCCAGACAGGTAATATTACCCAAGGACAAGTCTATCCCAGGGGTGATACCACCCAAGATCTTGTCTACCCAGACAGGTAATATAACCCAATGCCTAGTCTACCCCAGGGGTGATGCCACCCAAGGTCTTGTCTACCCAGACAGGTAATATAACCCAATGCCTAGGATATCCCAGGGGTGATGCCACCCGCGGCCTTGTCTACCCAGACAGGTAATATAACCCAAAGGCTAGTCTACCCCAGGGGTGATACCACCCAAGGTCTTGCCTACCAAGACAGGTAATATAACCCAAGGGCTAGTCTTCCCCAGGGGTGATGCCACCCGAGGTCTTGTTTACGCAGACAGGTAATATAACCCAAGGGCTAGTCTACCCCAGGGGTGATGCCACACGAGGTTTTGTTTACCCAGACAGGTAATATCATCCAAGGTCTTGTCTACCCCAGGGGTGATGCCACCCGAGGTCTCGTTTTCCCAGACAGGTAATATACCCCAAGGGCTAATCTACCCCAGGGGTGATGCCACACGAGGTCTTGTTTACCCAGACAGGTAATATCATCCAAGGTCTTGTCTACCCAAGGGGTGATGCCACCCGAGGTCTTGTTTACCCAGACAGGTTATATAACCCAAGGGCTAGTCTATCCCAGGGGTGATGCCACACGAGGTCTCGTCTTCCCAGGCAGGTAAAATAACCCAAGGGCTAGTCTACCCCAGGGGGATGCCACCCGAGGCATTGTCTACCCAGACAGGTAATATACCCCAAGGGCTAATCTATCCCAGGGGTGATATCACTTAAGGCAAGGTTTTGAAAGGTCTAATGGTCTAAGACGGGAAGGCGTTGACAAATTGGTGTAACTTCTGAATAAACATCTACTCGAAGTTGGGACAATAAATATGTAAAAAGCAAAGAGTCTTTTTTAGACATGTAGTATCTCTGAGACAGGTAGTGTAATCGGAGAGATGGTCTATCCATGATAGATAGTACTACACGAAGGGTTGTCTACATTAAAAAGAAAGTAGCACCTAGGTGTTTGTCTACCACAATCTTGTAATATCACATGGAGGCTTGCTTACCCGATATCTTTTTGAAAATCACCCGAGGCCTTGTCTTTCCCAGACAGATATTATCATCCGAATGGTTTTCTACAAGAAACAGATAGTAGCACCTGGGGGTTTGTCTACCACAATCTTGTAATATCACCTGGAGGCTTGATTACCCGATATCGTTTTGAAAATCACCCGAGGTCGTGTCTTTTCCAGACAGATAATATCATACGAAGGGTTATCTACATGAAACAGCTAGAATCACCTGGGTGTTTGTCTACCAAAGACTTGTAATATCACCAGGAGGCTCTATTACCAGATATAGGTTTGAAAAATCACCCGAAGTTGTGTCTTTCCTAGACAGATAATATCACACGAAGGGTTGTCTACTTGAAACAAGAAATATCACCTGGGGATTTGTCTACTAAAGACATGTGATCTCACATGAAGGCTTGATTACCCGATAAAGCTTTGTAATACCACCATAGTTCGTGTCTACCCTAGAAGGGTAACATCACTAAAGGAGTTAGTGTCTACCTAGGACCTTGGACTTGAAATGACAATTGAAATTTACACCCTTTGTATTCCTTAATTGCTTCAATACTAAACGAAATTTACAACTCATGTCAAACTTTAAGGGAATTATTTGACTAGACTAAATAGTTGATATATACAAAAACTACCTTTACCGCTAAATTGGCAAGTAAATAAGACATGAAAAGGTACATTGTTTAACTGTGTTCCGCGTTAAATTGTACAACTATTACGTCATTTAACAAAAGGTAACTTACGACCATACCAAGTCATGATTTATTGTACTTAAACTAAATCAGGGTTAATCTGGGTTTTCTTGTAAAATAAATTAAATGGGTATTTTTTTTTATCTGAAAGATGTCAAATATTTCGAGGAACAATGGTCGAAATGTTCGTTTCGAGGAACTATGGTCGAAATCGAACATGTCAATATTGTATAGGTGTTACCCCCCTATTTGTCTTTGCCACTTTTCGTACGGCTATTTTTATTTCAAGTTCCTTTTTTTGTAATATTTCTTTTAACATTTCTTCCTGTATACCGATTAACTGTTCTACAACTTATCCATCTGTACATCGTAAAATCCCTATATAATTGTGCATGTCCACAATAAACATTGACTTTATGAGGGTTTAGTATTGGTGTAATAAAGTAAATAGCATACAGGTCCTTCACTGACTCACGAGCGTTAGTATATACAAATCATACAGATATATCTGACATCAAGCTAATTGAGATTAAATATCTTAATGGAAAAAGTCGTTCCCTAGGGCTAATTACTTGTCGGGTTTACTGCCCTAGATGTTAAGGATTACAGGTGAGTCGGTTTCTGTGTTTCGTCCTCTGTGAGGCTGTACTTGAGTCAAACACGGGTCTATAAGATAAGTAGACAGCCACTAAATAAATGTTAAGTCATCGAGGCTGTGTTATTTCTATTACCTTGCGTGGCTCTTCAATTTTCATCTTCTTGGCATTTATTTATTGGAAGCACTGACTACATATATATTGCTATATGGAGCTGATCATTTTTATATATTTTTTTATATTTGCAATACTTTTAATAGTTATGCATACACACTCAGTACAATGCCGACAGAAAGTTCATTTTCTAAAACTTCAGATAAATATACTAGTGTTTTCTTTTGCAATATAGACACACAAATAACTTTGGAAAAAATAACTTTACAACTACTGCCCCATCTAGGCCCGGAACTTACAAACTAAGACAACAAGCTACAGAGTCAATATATACCAGCTTCAACATATGTATATTATCATTACATTACTACCACCTCTTATAAGATTCCTCCGTTGTCTGTGCTTCAATATTTCGTTTCAACTTTAAGGTTAAAATGATTACATTCATGTCTCAATTGTTACATCAAAATGTTATGCATTTCCTATCCATGTGTATATCTATAGACATTGCGATCTAGATACTCATATAAATCAGATATAGACGATTGCTCATATGATCATGTCGAGGTTACCGGTCCGTTGACCATTGCAACATTAAAGAATCTTTTAAGGAGGCCAAGTAGATGTGACAGTAATATTTGCTGGTATTTCGCGACTAGGCGATTTGATCCTGATGTCATCGGCTCGAGGTATGCCCAAAAGCAGGAGTCATACATTGTTTTCCTTCGATTCAATTAGAAGCAATACAAAGTAGTTACCTGCCTGAATCATCTAATTATAATTATGTTATTATTTTTCTTTTCAAATCAATTTTATTGCATTTATGACACAATTGGATTAGGCCCAGGTATTAAATCCCTTTCCAGAAGAAAATACACACAGTTCATACATTCATATATATATATATATATATATATATATACAGAGAGATAAAGTAGTATAGAGAATATGTTATATATTTTATCATCGAATACATTCAAAATAGACATACAAAAGATTTCTAGTACAAACTACATTGATAAAGGTTTAATTAAAGTATATAAAATTATAGCCATGGGAATATTGATAACAATAGGAATATCTAAGAAACTATTGTGAAGTACGTGATGATACAACAATCCTACTTACTGCCGTAATAAGCACTGTAGAGTTTTCTAGCTGTTATGTCCACGATACTGGTGAGAGACCCTGCTGCGACGTTAGAACTGCTTCCCGGCGGAGGTACACCCTCGAAGTACGTTGCTACAGCTTGTAAAATACCAATTTCGGTAATGTCTGCAAGTGTGTAGTCATTTCCTTTCAAAAACGAGGCATACTGATTCGGGTAAAATCCTATTACGTTGGTAAAATTTCCAATTATCAAAAAGGATAGAAGCACAAGTTTGTAAAACATTGTCCAGTTTAATTTGTCTTATGATAAATACGACTGAAATAAGATAAAGATTGTTTTAACCTATTCTCGTCTGAAAAAGAAGAATATTGTAGTTTATACTTTTGTATTCGGTAACGTTCCGTTTGTCCAGCACTATTATGAAACAGCTATTTTGTAATGGTAAACTGTTTCCTATACACCAGTGGTTGTAGTTGCCAAGCCGTGGTCCTGTTTGAACAGTAACGGTCTCCCATTCGCCTTATCAAGTTCGAATCAACACGTGACACTACGGTGTTTTAGGGAATTTTTCAACAGACCGCAACATTATTATCGGTTTTTGTGAAATGACTAATGCGTCTATTAATGCCACTTTCTTCCTAAATTCCAGTTGTTTGATAAAGATTTATTATTCTTCGCTGCAGGTATCATTGAATGACAATGCGTTTATCCCAACACTTAAGGTATGAATCACGAGTGGCTAAGCTCCGTATGCACGTATGTACACGATCATTATGTATACCATTGTTATCGATGTATACGCAAAACAAGAAACATTTAACAGTTGTAGTTCATTCATATTTTTTTAATAATGTTATTGTATGTTCTTCATTGTTTTTGCGCGAAAGATATGTTTTCTGCTAGCTTTAATGCAGGTCGTGCAGCGGGGGGAAGTAAGCGTTGACGGGTTAGTGAACAGACGTAAAACATACAACCCGTAAGATGTTATTTGCTTCAAATGTTGTATATTTTCATGAAACCTTTAAGAATATTAAATAAAAGCAAAAAGAAACAAACACGTACAATAAACGCCTAAAACCCTTTTTGTTTTGTTTGTTTATTTGATTGATTTTTAATGTTTTTTAATTATTATTTAATATATTTATTTATTATTGATCAAATGAGCAATAAAATATAAAACAAATTCGCTTTGAAACACATTATATTCTTAACGTTATATTTTACACATGTTTTCTACAGTTACTCATCTAGATATAGATATAGATATATTACACTCATATGCTCAGTCTATACTGGACGTTTGTTTTTTTCTCTGTGTAATCATAATTTTATTGTAATGACGGCACTACTTACATAGTCTAAAAATATCAAAAAGTTGATTTCATAACTTTGTGTTATAATTTAACAAAGGAATGTAAGTTATCTCCTTATCAACTGTGACGTAGGAGGAACACTTAACCGTGTTGACGCCCAGTAATTGACCTGAAGTGGACAAACTGGACGTCTAAGCTTTCACCCTAACATGCAGTACATTCTCTGTGGGGATTTTTGGATGTCTACATACGATTCCATGTTGGATCTCTCACGATTCACTAGATACAACCGATCCCGCTGTTGGGACATGTATGTCATTTATTTAAAGAAATAGTGATACCAAATAGCATGTATATTACTCTCGTCGTTCTTATCGATACACCTTTAGACGACAGTTTACATGCTTTGAGGGTTTGTGTACGAATGCTTAATTGGTTTCTAGAGTATGTTGGTTTTATTATAACTGAAAGGTAAAAGTTCACGTTTTCTTGCTTTGTATATTAAAACAACAAGTACTTGAATTCTCTTTTTGATTGATTTTGATAACACAGAAGTCGACATCTAGCTGTGCATATCTTTTAAATTCGGATTTTGAGGATAAGTAAAAAATATTCTGGAGAGAGGACTAAGCGACGAAAATATATAAAATGTCTCTTGCCATTTATACAACATAATGCGGAATGGCGATATCGGGACAGAATAAGTTTCATACTTAACGTATCAAATGCTGATTGATCCCCATCCATAACATTTCGATAAGCAATATTTATGACGTCACTCTTGTGACTATAATTGGTATTTCGATAATCTGTCATACAATTAAGCCACTAATTGAGTTAAACAAGAATTATATAAGCATCAGATAAATGTCGTCTCACTTTCATTTTCTGATTTTCATTATATCATGCCTCTTTTTTTCCTATTCATAGTTAATACGCCATAAAATTGAAAGTTGCTCCTTTCTCCTTCACGAATTAAAAAGTTGACAAAATAATACATTATCAAATAATTAATCAATACCTTCTGACAATCCTTTTATTAAATCACTCATCGACTTAACTATCTTTTGAAAAAAGCCCTTTTAGTTAAACCCCCTACTGGACCTTCACCATCACATTTGCTGTTTTACCTCTTAACATCTCTTTCAGAGTCGCCCTTCCTGACCTGATTTCTGACACCCCCATATCTTGTAAGAGTTGTCCTGATATAAATTCACTTACACGAGTCCAATGTCACCGACAGGGGTGTGAGTAGTGTACAGTAGGTTTAGCTAAACACTTCAATATATTAATTTTATTTTACTTAAGATTGTCCCTGATGCATTTTATCTGTTTTATGTCCGTGGTTTACTCTATTTGATCCCACGTTTATTCCTACACATTTGCTGTCAAACATACTTAGCAATACACTCTCACTTATCGGTAAATTTCGCCTGTGCTTTTTTGTGAAGATTTATGTGTTTTGCTTGATGTCACCTTGGTTCCGGTTGTTGTCATTTGCAATGCGAATTGATGTCAAACTTGTTAATTTTTGTCTCTTTTTTTCTGAATTGTTTTGGTTTTGTTTCATTACTTTTGTTTTCATTTATTCCTTTTTACATTATTTTTATTTTTAAATTTCGTCACATTTATATGCTATTTCAACCTCAATCTAGCATATGCATTTGTCTGGTCAGTGTATTTTTATACAAATAAGTCTTAGTTCTTACTGAATTTTTAGTGTAGACGGCAAGTAATGCCCCTCATCGAACTCGCTTCGGTGTTAATTATTGATTAACTACCCAGAAATCTGGCATCTATTCCCATTGATGCATGCTATTTCACTATTCATTTTAATAAAGCATTACAAATGTTATCATATAACAACATTATGTTTATGCATGTACTTCATTCAAATTAAAGTGTTTTTTTTTATTGTATTACAATAATATGGGTTATTTATTATGCATGCTTACACTAACCATATATTCCATACATTTAGGCGTGTTAATACTCCTCTTTGTTTAAAATCACCTCACAATTTTCAGGATTTTGACCAGCCTTTATATATGTTATATAAGACAGTTATATTACAAATGTATAACATGTTTATTGTTTAAGTGCAACGTCATAATGTCATGACATCATCTTGATTGTCTAAATTCTGACATTACAATGAGTTTTGTTTACCTACGTGAGTGTACTAGCCGCTTACTCATAGACATGTGTTAGAATTAGACTTACATTAAAATAAAATGAAGATCAAATTGGTTTCATATATGAAGACAAATAAACGTTGTATTTATTGGAGGGGGGGGGGGGGGGGGAGCAAGCAACACTATTAAATTTACTACACAAAAATTAAACACATTATATATTTCCATCACACAAAATACGTTTCTCATATAATCATATGATAATATATTACACTAAGCACTAACAAAATAAAAGTTAAAAAGAAAAAAGGATTTGACATTTGTTGATAAGAGCAAAATATAAAAAGAAAATATTAAAGGTTTGCTTGCAAGAAAATGATATTATTGTAAATTTGAGGATTACAGCACCTTTAATAAGCTTGCATAGCCTTTGATTAAGACATTAATATTATAAATTATACTTACCGTTAACACCACAAACAACAAAACAAACTATTTATCATGATTATAAGCAATTTTAGACAGACAATCCCAAGCATGCACGAGTTTTTGATTTAAAGTGTTACTTATGAAAAAAACAAACATCGAATTATACTTCATTTCAAGAGCCATTATCAAATATTTGATATCGTTATTCAAAGGCTCAATTTGATTTTCAGTAATCGAAAAGCACTTGTCGTAACATGGTACTACCACGCACGAGCGACAAACTAATCGAAATGTGTGTAATTACGTTGTGCTTTACCTGTCAGTCGATATGATATGTTATAATGTCAAGGAGATATTTTGCCTCCAAGAGAGTCAGTGCTGTAATAACTGCACTACTAAAGTGCAGATTAAAGTGTCTTAGGAGAATAGGGAAAAGCCGTTTACATCACGCCATAATGACTATGTGGTTTTATGTTTTCCCCTGGAACCACTTTATTTTTTCCATACCTAGCACCTACCTACATATGTAGATGAAATCATATGAATATACCACGTCATAATGACTTAAGGGTATTAGGATTTTACTTACCACTTTATTTCTTCTATAGTTATGGATAAAGTCATACCGAACTATTTAAATGTAATAATTATATTATCAAAAGTCGTTACAAATGATAAATGCAACAAATCTGTAAAACACTAAACAGAATACATATGTAAAAAATCAAATAACATAAAACAACATGAGTAAAGGAAAGATAAATACGGGGAACTTAAAGCTTGATAACATAAAGGAGAAATAGACCAGTGTTGCTGGTGTGATGGTAGGTGATTCAGAAGGGTAGGCGGTTTCTGTTTCATCAACGACACCCGCCACGCAAATCTTGTTCAAGTCTAAGGAAAGTAAAGTCCCCGAAGTGAGAACCGGATAATTGACCATTAAACAACAAGACAAACTAATGAGTGCTATGAAAAACATCGACCTTGATATAACGTAAGAAGTAACATATTTCCTAATAAGATCACGATGCCGACCATAACACTTTTCTCGAAACCCGGTGTTGTAGGTTTAAGTCCGTCAGCAGTCGCCATCTTAATTGATTACGGACATCTTTTTATTTTGAGCAAGCATTTAATTACCGAATCAACTGCAACATGTACACAAGGTTGGTTGGGGAAGCAGGGATGTAAATATAAAGAAAGGGAAAGCTCTCGATCGGGATATCGTCACACTTATCATACATCTTTAAACGTAGTAAGCCGAAAGATCGGTGAAAAAAATGCTGATGTTCAAGATTTGGTTGTTACTTTGATTTCAAGTGCAGGCTGGTATATATGATTGACGTGGTAAATGAATAGTTTGCTGTTTGAAGACAGCACATCGATGATATATCTGAAAGTGAATTGCAGGACTTGTTACCATTTCTAATAAGCTCGCCATTGAATTCGCGTTTTTAACAAAAAAAATTAAAAGACCTTTGTTACCATATATATATATCGTCGTTCGCCTTTCTTGGAAAAGAAAGCTCTCATGATAAGTGAACCTAAGAGTTCCTTTATTTGAGTTTAAGGCATGATAGCATATAAAGTAAACAAGTCAAATATTCTGTTGATGAAACATTAAATAGATACTTAAGATCGATTAATCAATCTTTTGGTTTATTTAAAATTCACGTTTCATTATTTTTAACGTGACAATACGAATGTAACCTATATTAAATAGTGAATGTACCGGGGAATGGTAGTATGAAGTGTAGTTAGTGGCTTGGTTGAGCAACTGGAAGATACACGGATTTTCGTTTGACTTCAAAGTCTTATACAAACAAGGCGGATCCGTATCCTTTTCATCATTCGGTATCCGGAAAGGTTGCTTAACAGAAGTGTGATCATTGGAGTCAAGAAATACAGACTTGTGTTTTGTTTTTACTTAAGATTGCAAGCTACTAAGTGCTATTTAATGATGGCTTGAACAAAGACATGGCATTTGTATCACTGCTTCCTGAACTTCACAACGAGTAATCACGTGTAAATCAAATCAAACACCGTCTTCTGTTTTATGATAGCATCCTCAGCACTTGTCGAGTGTATGTAAGAATCATTGGCACTGTCTAATATAATGGATATAATGTTTCCCTCATAAAATCAATTAATTATTCAAATGCAGGGCAATATTGTGTTGTTTGATAAAGACTTTCTGCCGTTAAAACACTATGTTGGCTTGAAGGCAATCTCAGTATAAACAAATTTCCTAGGACATAGTAAATGCAGGTTCTCAAAAAGAACATGTTTCATGATATGCTATGAGGCACTTATATGTACATTGTATGTAGCTTATAAGGCCGAGTTTGTTTCAATTTGTAGATTTTGTAATGATTTGCACAAAATATGCCAATGACGTTTTGAGCCCAACAACAAGAGGGAGAACCTTGTGGTCGGCTATAAAGGTGGAAGCGCCACTGTACCGTAGTAAATAACCTGGAATATGGATGCATAATTAATACAAAATTAAAGAGTAACGTTTCCGCGGTATTGTGTAACTGTTACGTAACATCTACCGAAAATTGTTTGGTGGATAAGCGGTTGAGAAGAAAGATAAATAAGTCTATACTATGTGCCGTGCTATGCGTTACACACGTTCATCATATCATTTAAAAGTCATTCAGGTGATGTTGAGAGGCAAAATTACATTACGCTGTAGTTGTGTTGTTAAGTATGATTAATGATTTGTTGATGATACGTGAACGATTTTCAAGTATATTGATGTTCTTTAAAATTACTTATAGAATTTCTTTTGCCATAAAACAATGGGTCCCAGATATTAAGTCACTGAATACATCTAATGGCATTTAAATACAAATGTAGATGATTAATCAGTATTTTTATAAAAGCTTTGATACGTAATCATTTCCCTATGGATGACAAATGCCTGCGATAAAATACCAAATATGTCGGTAAGCCACGTACGGCTACTCCAGCTCCACACGCACCTGTCCCCGTTGGTAAAGGAACATGGATTCAACTCTTTATCGTAAAATTGCAATAGATTTCACGCGAACGTTTTATCCCTAATTCTTTGTAGGTAAACGATTGCACTCTGCACTGAAATAGACATCAACAAAGGGTTTTATTCTTTTTAAAGTCACGAACACTTTAAAATACACTTCATTGGCTGAGATATAATGCATTTTAAGCCATCAATTGACTATGAGCTCTGATAGAAGCATTCCTCAGCTCCTTTTTTGACAAGTATCTGCGATGTCTATATATCATATTATAATTAGACTGGTCGTGGTTTGGCATGGATGCAAGCTATGTATACGTCAGAGAGAGTCGAAGGGTATGGAGTGTAAACCCTGGTTCTGTTTAATATTTAAGATGTGTTAAGTCCGGAATGTTAATACAATGATACATACCGCTTAGCCGATAAATCAGTAAATCACCTATGTTTTCTGAGGTAAATTGTTTTGCCTAAACTCTCTAAAATCCTCTATCGATTTGAAAGATGTCGCTAAAATTGTGATCGAGTACATTTGAATTAAATAAAAAAGATTTAAAAGATAACTTTTCGCAAAGAAAAATTTGGACATTTAAATGAATAAATTAGAAAAATGCGCCTGATTTTTGATAGTGTATGTCATTATGATTAGGTTGTCATGGTATCATTTATCAAGCATTAGGTAAATCATGCCTGGATTATTGTAATAGTCAACACATAGTTATAGGAACAGGGGAAACCGAATCAATTTCGAAGACATTCTGATTTTAAAAAGAAAAAAAAAAGGAAATGTTGTCGTATTATATGGTGCCGGTACCGTATTATAAAGTGACGGAGTCCATTTTTAATGATAATATCCAATTCAAAATAAATACTATGATCAGCAGAAATCCTTTTTAGTTTTAGATTTTTGTATCTACTACAAGTTCTGGTTTTGTTATTTTGTGTTTATGCTGTGGTTTATGTTTTTCTATTTAAATAAATGTTGTGTTGGTACCGTGGAGTACATGTATATGTTTCTTGTTTATATGCAAAACAGCGGTAAGGACTGACTGATACAAATATAGATTGTTAGATTATAGAAGCCACATGTTTAAAGTAAAATATATTTGAATAATGTTGGCATGTAACGTTTCGTTGCCACCAGATAGTATAACCTAAAGACATGGATATAACCTTTACCTTTTATTTTCTACTCATGTAAACTGTAAGTGTTAAACCTTAATAACAAATATTCATATTTCAACATAAAACATCTCTTGAGGCTACCATCTCGACATTTTGCGGAGAGAGTTTAAATAGGATTGTTGTCTTATATACATTGTAAATATAAAATGAAACGCTTATTTCCTAAAAATCTGGCTTTGTGTAAACTCATATATTAGCGGGTCAACTTGTGTTCCAGAAGAATTATTTACCTGTTGATAAGAATAGGACCACGAGAAGTTATTTAAGTTAAAAGTTCCACCCGCTTTATCTAATTAGGCAAACTGACCCACATCCTTATCAAATTAGCACCATCACCCCCTACTTCAAATAGCAACGAGAATCTCATATAGGGTCATTTTCTGTAAACGTTATCTTTTCGTTTGGATAGTTGACAAACGATTTAACATCCTTTCATTAAACATTCGTAATTATGTAATGCAGGTGTAATGAAAGTATACTTTTTAAAACGGAACGTAATCACAGGTCTAACCAAAATTGTACTTCATTAAGTTATTACTGACAGAAAAAAAGGTTAATATGATCATGACGTCAACATCACGTGATATCAAAGGGCTCTACCTTCGAATAACAGCGATACATATTTCTACCGATAACCTTTGGGTAAACACACCTGGGATATTGCTTTATGGAAACCCCGATAACGGGGAAAAGTCTGAAACTATCAACAAAGCATTTTGTTGCAGTTATAGAGAAGTTCAGCTTTATCTTTATCCCACGATAAAGGTACAAACCTGCCACGTGGTATTAAGAAAGGGCATTGGGGTGCATGTGTGCATGCATACGTGGGGAGGACTGACAACGTAAAAGCTACACAGCAGTCACTTAACGTGTTAAAAGAACACCACAGTGAGACAGGGGTGACAGGATTCCAAGTAAGCCATCACATATAGAGCACGGCAAAATACAAAGGTAAGTTTTGTACGTGGTGTCTTTTAGATGTCGTATTACATATTTGATGTCATCCTTCTTTGTATCATTTGTTTAAATGCTAAAAATTATCTATATATATAAATATGATAGACTGATTTTGGTTTATTGTAAACAATACTTATGTTTTAACTCATAGCCTTGATGTTTATATCAAATAACTTATATTTAACTGGTATATATTTCCACGTTAATTCGTGTCTGGAATTGACCTCTATTTCTCACCAATATTATTTCGAACACTACAACACATATCTTTAAAATCAGTTAAGGGAAGCAGAAACGTGATAATTATTATTCGGGAAATTAATGTGGTTTACAGTTTATCTGTTGTTTAGATAGCGCATCGGATATAAGTTGTTTAATATAATTCATAGCATATTTGTTGTTATATGTGATATACAGTGGATCTGTTAATTATAAGTATGTTACGTGTTGTCTGTAGAATATATCTGGTAACTACAATAGAGCATGGACACGTTATATTCTTCACAATGAATTAGAAATGTGCACGTGAAAGGACAGATGTATTACTGGTTTGAGATAAGGGAGGTGAACTATGCTGTCTAATATATATTTCGATGTTGACGTTCAAAATCAAATTAGAAAACGATAATAAACGCTTCAAGAAGAATAGAAAACCTATATAATATTATTGGACATTTATTTACAAGTGGAACTAGTCTGCTTATTGTATTAAAAACAAGTACAGTTGTGGGTCAATATCAATCGACTTATAAACAAAAGGACGTGCGTCTGTTCTCAGATTGATTACAGGTATATTTCCGCTGAACTTGTCTTTATACACTTTTATTTCTTTTGACCACGTGAGAAAATAGTTTATCCACGATAAACAAAAAGCTTATTTTGTTTTTCTTCTCGAACTACCAAATAGAAGAAAATGAACACCAAAATGGTGACATTTGAATTTATTCAAAAATATATCATATTGCTTTAAGAAATTGAAACATAGACTGTTTTTTTTTACAACCTTTTATCCCGGAATAACGACGCACCTTATATTTAGCAGGGTATATATATTGCAGTTACCCCGAGGGAATTTAGATTTTCTTGATCGTGTACAAATTAACAAAGAATATATCAGGAAAGAAGTTGTTGGCAATTTTTTCACGGCATTCAATGGTGTTTTTTTAATTATTTTTACATTTATCAATGCATGACATTGTCTTTATACAACCATCCAAAATCCATTTGATACTTTTCATAGACATTTATCTGAACTTTGAACGCCATCGCCCTATTGTTGACGTCATTATGAATGTGGCGTCATACTTGTAACATTAGATACCACCTCTGGACGATGACTGCTCTTTTAACTAATTATGGATATTTATGATACGTTCACTATCAAAAAAAAATGTTTTTTTTATTAGTTTATTTAATTTATTAAATTATTTTGAAAATGGCTAATTGTAGTATCGAACTTAAGTCATTTGGTATCAATAATCAATTTAAGTTTGTCATTTCCAATTGGAATTAAAAATGGCTATCAATGCCAACTGAAAACAGTTAAGTGACTCAATCGTGGAGTGACGTCATTTGTAGTAAGATATTCTTCTGTTGATCAAAAGCATACATTTTATGATGTCACGTTTTACTGAAATGATGTCACGTTTGAAAACGTTAGCGTTACCGAAACCTTTCCTATGTTTTTCATTTGTTAGGTTGAATGTAGGCAGAAATATAGTTTTTAAACTACATGTCATTGCGGTTGTTAATGATAGACAAACATACCCTACATTAATGATAGACAAACATACCCTACATTGATGATAGACAAACATACCCTACATTAATGATAGACAAGCATACCCTACATTAATGATTCACTATGGAATCGTGCGTGCTACGTGCTTATGTAGCGACCGGAGAAACTTATCTTCCGAGCACCTGTCCTCGCCTTGAGATGTGGAGGGTTCATGTTTATTATATTTTTTTCTTATTTAATTTCCGCTCTGATATCATTTTAAAAACAATACACGTAGTGTAAACATTTTGAAAGGACCGAATTGCATGTCGGTGTTAAATAGATAGACATGTTTTCACGTTCACTGTCATTTCAACTGTTACATTGGAAATTAAGTGACAATTTCGGAACAGATATTTGGGTTTGTCAGTAGAATTACTCGCTTCCAATGTGAGCGTAGTCTGTATCACGGATACCCTAGTACAGTTTGTGGAAATGACACGGTATCCTGGACAACGTCGTTAGATTAGCAGGTGGCTATCCACTGGAGGCTTATAGATGGAATCTGACGTTGTGTGTGGGGCTGTTGATGGCATTGTTTATACATTTTCACATCACTCGTGTCTGGATTTGTATTTGTTTGGTAACGTGTCGGTGTAAACAAATGTTACCACGGACGCGTTACTTACGTTAGATAATCACATGTGCGTAACATTAATTACGGAGGGACATATCAGACATGGTTAAGACGCTCGTATTACAGTATTTACGGGTGGGGTGGGGTATGGTGTGTGTGTGTGTGTGTGTGTGTGTATGTGTGTGGGGGGAGGGGGTATACATATAACGTAAGTATGATATTTCTGATACAGTGTTAAACTGCCCTGCCATAGCAATAACATACCTCTTTTGTCTATGGCTATTACGTCACACAGTATTACAGTGTTCAGAACCCGTTTTTCTGGACATGTCTTGGCTGTTAATCATTAAACTACAAAATGATGTATGTTTGACAAAATTTATGATCATCATCATTACCTGATTGCTATATTACATATGTACAAGCTTTCCTTATTTAGATAAAATATATAATGACAGATGACAAATTTGATTCAGGAAACGTTGATCCTTCCGGAGTAGCCGAATTTTCCTTCGTGGTTTCTTGTTAACTATTGTCATGTGTTTGTTGTTGTTTTTATCTATTATCACTATCATTCAATGCGTAGTTTAAGTTGTAAATTTCAACATTTTAAGATATTATATACTAGATAAGATAGTATATACTAGATAAGATATTATATACTAGATAAGATATTATATACTAGATAAGATATATTGGTGCAAATTCATTTTGTATAACCGCATAGCTTTACCCTGCCGTGACCTACAGTTCGTTCGCTTACTGATGTGATATTCAGATTTGTAGTCCGTCACTGATGCAATATTTCTTCAATCGAAATTTGAATTTAGATATTCATCAGGATATTCACGTACGTTCTGTACATTACCAACCCCAGGAACTAAACTTGTTAACACCTGTATGTTACATTAAGTAACTTTAAAAACAATTTTAATTTCACCGTGGGATATGCGTACAGGCACATGTGGATACATACATACAGAGTAGATTTTCATGGTGTGTCGTATTTTACTTCAACGTATATGTGCAATGGCAAGTTCGTTATTGTAATAAAGATGTATAATGCTAAACGATACTAATTTAGGCATTTCTCATTAGAAAACTTATCACGATGATATTTTGATAATAAATATTTTACCCCAAAGACACTCAATTTCAATTTTAGAAAATAAAATGACGAAAAAAGCACGATTTATTTTTGGCTTCTATTTAACATAAAAAAACACTACAAAAATATCACAAACGTTGACTTTTAAACCATTTCGACAAGAAAAACAAAATCACGCACCCACAGCTGCTACTTCAATTTTATGTACAAACGTGATTTATACACTATATTATCCATATCCTACGGCATAACATGGAGTTTGTCAGATATTGAAGCTCTAACCATGAATATTGTGGTTGAACCTTAACAACAGTAGGTTTATTCCAGAACTTGAATGAATGTGAATAAAATTAATTGCAAATGTATTGTTGTATATGTACTTTTAACACCTAAAAGAGAATTATATGTAATGACATATAGGTTGTAACTTTTTTATAACAGGTTTGTCAATTAGTGAACTCTGGTCAACGCTATTTTTTCTCATAATTGGTAGTAATTAGCAAAATACACCATGAATCATTTTTACCGGAATTCTTGTATTTACCATGTCATACCTTTTATGTTGATGCTGATGACAAATTTGATTCAGGAAACGTTGATCCTTCTGGAGTAGCCGTTTTTACCTTCGGTTGTATGTGTGTGGTTTCTTGTTAACTATTGTCATGTGTTTGTGCTATTCCTTTGTTGTTTTTATCTATAATCACTATCATTACCAATGGGGAAAATAATTGCTCTATTGTTTAAACAGTTTCTATCAACGAAACTGGAGAACAAATATTTTCATTATTTTATTTCCACTCTTTTTTAGTGATGAAAAAAATGCATTGCTTTTTAAAGCAATACATTTTTTTCTATTTTTGCTAGGATATGACCAACCGAAAGCTTTTATAACATGAGGCATATATTCGGCAGCCTTACTACTTATAACATTCTGGCAACGGAATACATTTTAGGGGGATTTCCTTACAAAAAAAAAACGAATTACAAAGCATAGCTCATTTTCATTCAAATACCAACACCTACAACATTGCGAGTAAATCTGTTAGTTGGGTAATTCCCATCCGGAACCTGTATAACCTAACACTAAAGGCTTACCCTGTCTTATGTGGACTAATTGTGTTACTATATATATATTAATGTCATCTTCGTGTTAGATTGAGTGTTGTGATACTTGGGTCATGTACATGCTGATAAATATCTATATCACTCAAAGTTCATTTTCATATATTACGCATGCATTAACAGTTATGGGTTTAAAGTCAGCATGTCTAATCTAAAAGCTAACACGGAAAACCTTTTTCCGTCTTAGGCTCTACCATACTTCAATTAGATCGCTTTCTGTCAGTCTATTGAAAAATTAACTCGTGACTGGGACATTCCGATCTGTAGGGGAAGGTCTGAGAGAGCGGTCGACAGCGCGGAATGCGGGTCTCTCAGGGCGTTAAAGGAGGAGGAGGAGGGGGATCTGTAAGGGGCTATAGATCACATAGGACGCTATCCTTAAATAGACTTTAATGGTATCTAGAGTGGCGTATTTGCGTTGTATTCGGGCAGGCACCCCTGGATGTGGTAAATCCAGCTTAATACCAACGTAACCCTCCCCAGTGCACGCCACGCATGGTTATCTTAAAGCGCAATGACGAAGTACGTATCCCAAGTTTTAGCTCTGTTACGTACAATAAAATCAAACTTATATCCAGTATTGTGAAGTTAAAATTGAACATTGCGCAAATTTATATGAGGGTGCAGACAGGAATCCTTCAATTTCTGCGGTTTTCGATGACAGATACACTTAGCTTTTCGTCGAAGGCTAGGTATAGATCTACTCAATTACAGTGGTACATGGCGGCCGTGATATTTACACCACACTGATTCCATTGTCTATTAACTCGAAAGGAGACCGTTTATTGGTCTGTCAAACTATGACGTCATAAAAAGATTGTTCAGAAATTCTGATTCGTCAGCCTATTTGTATATATCAATATAACTATGCCAAGCCACTTATCATATCCTCTCCTTATGCAAGATTGCAGTCAACAAAATTACAAAACATACATGGATTGAAATATCCATTAATCATAACGACATTATGGAGTCAGTGTATATAGGCGGATTGGTCGAGTGGTTAACACTCCAGTTAACAAACACTCGGGCCTTCCACGCAGGCGGCCGGGGTTCGATCCCCGAATTCGTCTTACGCATAGCAACCCCGGTGGAGTATAAACTGTTCTGGGGTGGATGTTGCAGTATCGTTGCTGTATATAGCAACTGATACCGTTGGAAGCACGGCCACACTACAAACAGAACACGATACATCTCCAACGCACACGCATGCATACACACATAGGGGGTTATTAACCAGGTGGCATAGGACTAGTTGTTAGCGCCTGATAAGGCAGCTCCTGCGAATTCCTCAAAATTGTATTGATTAATACATGCTAATTCTTTTGATTGTATAAATTGTATATATTCTTACTGTAAAGCGCTTAAGAGTGGCTTATGTTAGCTAGATAGGGCGTTATATCAAATGTTGTATACATGTATAGACAGACATAAAGTTTCGAGTAAATGTAAAACAGGTTTGTTTTGTTTAGGTTAGGGTATAGGCAATGTCTACATTGGAAGTAATATAACGGTATACACAAATCATTTTCAAAACAATTAGAACTAAAACATCATACATAATATGACAATTACAAATTACACATCATAGTATATGCACTGTACAACTTAGTAAACAACAACCCTAAAATGTCATAATCGTACAACCTATTAAAGTGGAGATAGGCCCAGGTGGTACGATTGCAGTAAACTTTACCTTAGCCCTTTGCTCTTTCCCTTCCAAGTGACGTCATGTGTTATCATTATATTAATTCTAACTTATTGCATTCTAAGATTATTATATTGCAATATATACTTTGAATGAACAATCTACCTACCTAGAAAATATTCAAATATAGAGAATGCCTTCACCAGGAAGTACTTGCACCTGTTCATGTTGCAACAGACCAATCTCTGGCAGGATACAATAACTACAATGAGTACGTGCTTTGTTTTATCACGTTCGGTGTTGTGAGTTTTGACCTGTTCACATTTTTCATGACAAATAAATGATAAGGATATGAATGGTTTCAGAAGTGACAGCATAAAAGTAGTAGACTATAGCACCCTTATTTTTCTGTCAAAAATTCTGCTGTAATGGGCGGATTAGTCAAGTGGTTAACACTACGGCCTTCCAAACAGTCGTCGTACGCATGGAATATTCAGAGAAAGTCTTTTTCTCCTGTCCACACAACTCCAACAACCCAGGCGGAGTATGAAATGGTCTGGTGTGAATGTTGCGGTATCTGTGCTGTGGCATTCAAGTGACGTGGCACTATACATGATACCGTTGGAAGTACGGTCCCACTACAAACAGAACACAATACATCTCCAGCACACACGCACAGGCATACACACATGGGGAGATATTAGCAAGGTGGTATAGGACTAGTAGTTAGCGCCTGATAAGGAAGCTTCTGCGAATTCCTCAAAATTGTAGTGAATAATGTATATACTAATTGTATTCATTGTATTAAATTGTATATCTATGTACTGTAAAGAGCTTTAGAGTGGCTTATGTTAGCTAGATAGGGCGTTAAATCAAAGGTTGTATATTTGTTTATTTTATTTGTAACATATACGCTCTAAGTAAACTGTTTACAGCCCGGAGAGAACTTGTTTTGCAATGTCTTAAGGCGAAGTAAGAGGTTATATTGCGTAGCAGATAATAATTTCCTACCATATCCTAAATACCTAGAGCCATTGAACTACAGTATACAGTATACTTGTTTATACTGTCCAGTAGTTGTAGCTTTTTTCTAGTTTTTTTCCTAAGACTTTGTGATAAATTCTGTGTGGATATAATGTTGTCTTTATAATAGTTTATACAGTCAACTAGTTTATACTTATATTACATAAACAATTTCAACTTGTAATTACTTTGTACATGTTAATAAAGCAATGCCGCCAGTGTGTAAGTAGTGACGGTAATGAACCAATGCCGCCAGTGTGTAAGTAGTGACGGCAATGAAGCGATGCCGCCAGTGTGTAAGTAGTGACGGTAATGAACCCATGCCGCCAGTGTGTAAGTAGTGACGGCAATGAAGCAATGCCGCCAGTGTGTAAGTAGTGACGGTAATGAAGCAATGCCGCCAGTGTGTAAGTAATGACGGCAATGAAGCAACGCCGTCAAACGTACAAAAAAGGAAAGGAAGCACAATGTTCAGTAAACACAATTTCATTATAAACATAATATTGACTGCACCTTTGTAAAACAGTATTGTTTAAAATGTATGTTATTGTCTCATTAATTAATTCTAATTTGTATTTTCATATATTTTTTCAGATATCTCAGCTGAATCAGTTTGAGCTACTTTCAGAAAATCGAAGATAAACAGCATCAAATAAAAGTTCAGTGGACCCCTTCGATATTTCATCGCCACACTATTTAGCTACTCCTAGAAATTAGGATGGGACTGGCGCTGTGGCAGTACGTCGTCATCATCATCGCCTCAGAAATTGTGCTGGTCGCTCTGATCCTCCTCTGTGTATGGCAGTATTGTAAGTGGGCAGTCAGAAATGGGTAAGTGTTGTAGATCGTTTTGTTTTCCTGCCTAATTGTAACTATATTTTGTAACGGTTACCGGCTACAGAAAGTTATGTATTGCCAGGCAATATTGTAAAGCCAGCACATTATCACCCCTCAAATTGCTAATGCTGTTAATAAATGAATCAAAATCATGTCATTTCTGATACATAATCATATTTATGTTTACTAAGCATTTATCTCGTCGGATAAAAACCAATCTATTAAATGTGTAATTAACATAACACTATCACAATATCATACACTATCACACCAGTAATTTGTCACAATTGTAGCTTTAAATACACAAATTAATGTACGAATACCGTTCTTCAAGTCTTCTTCACCACTATTGTAGACACAGGGAGAGGTCGGATGAGAAGCCCCCACTAGTCCCTCTGTCAGACGAGGACATGCTGAACGACCTATTCTCAAACAAGGCCGTAGTAGAATACGGTCAGCCGCCGTCCAATCCGGGTTCGTTCCGCATTAATGATTTCCCAAAACCTATACGTCGACCATTGATGATGAAACACCTACCGTCGGTCAGCGAGAATACTCCCGCTATAGAGATGAGTAACCTGCCTCCAGCGTATGCAAGCCGAGAGGTGTCCTACATATCGCTTAACTCGAAGGCTCGGGGATCTTCGGCAGAAACCGCAGGAGACGAGTCATCTGATTGGTTGGATACACAATTTCCGGTTCGATTGTCCGTGACTCCGGTGGAATCGGATGACGATAGATCGGTTCCAATAGTACGTCCACAGATGAGGAAGCAATCACCCCTGCCAGGTGTGGAAACGTCCGGTAATTCAAGGTTTAATAGAATTTTTGTTACCATTTCTGAATAAAGTGTTTTAGGGTCTGGTTGTTCAAAATTTAATGATTAAAGACAAACTAAATGCGAAAAAGAAATGAAATTAAAACTTTGAATTTCAAACAGGAGTGTGATTAGATGCTATAAGTTAGTGTCAATGATTTTTTTTCTCCAAAAAGAATGTAATATCCATTAAAACAGAAATGAAGGCATCAAACGTATTTCTTTATTCATCTAAGAACATTATTTTGCTATCATGTTTTGATTTTAGAAACCTCGTTTAGAATAGATTGATAAATTTAAGAAATGTCCATTCGGTATGGCTGGCAGATATTAGAAACATCCCTTGGTAGCAAATTAGTAGATTTTAAATGTTATCAAGAAAAACGACATTGGTATTTAGTTTAATCATCGCTATTCCATGGAATTTTTCGGAATCAAACTACGACTAGAAGCAATATATATAACAAACTGTCATTTTACACAATCTTATTATTATTATCATGAGATCTATTTGGTTAAACTTTCAGAGAGCGGTACTAATGACAGACATGTGGACGGCGACAATACCGACAAAGTAAGTGGACGGGTCAGATTTGAGACATTATGGCTGCCAGGCAAAAACCGGAAGAAGAATAAAGTTACCGATAATTGATTGAACACACCGGCAAAAAGGACAATGGCAGTACCAGATCAATGTTTTCTTTTTCTTATTTAATTGCATAACTGTGATATGTCGGGGTTGAGTTGGGTTGGGGTGGAACGGGGTGTTGGATGGAAGGGGATAAAGTGAAGGGGATGGAGAACGAAACTATTTATTTGTTGCACACGATTTTAAATGCAACGTTAAATTTATTCTTAATTTTTACAAATATGTTATGTATTGTTGACTGTATGAGCATTTTTTAATAAGAGTAAAACAACGTACACATCACACAAGAGGGGCTATTGAGACATTGTTAGACTAGGTTTTGTACGAGGGCAACATCCTTCTTTTTAACAATTGTCATTGTAATAAAGGGGGTCTTAAGACTGAACATGTAGATACCAGAGAATGAAACGAAAATTTGGTCAGGACACCGTTACAATCTAGCTGCTCCAAAAGATAAACAGTTGTTACATATACCTACTAAATTCGATCAGATTATAATCGCTATAAATCACTAAAGGTTCATCAAGCCCCCTTAAACACGTCTCGAAAACTATTCAAACCCCCTTATACGTCATTTTCACCTACTCGATTAAGCATAGAAATTCATATAATTGAACTTGTATATTAACTATTCAAATGGTGCCTAGCGAGGTTAACGTAGTCGATACTACGGCTTGACTTTGGCATATGAATGAACTTTAATAACATGTCATTTCGTAGCATTCAGTTAGTTTTGATTGAAAATTCAATAGGTCCGGTTAATATTTTGCCTTAACGTCAATTTCTAGCGTTGGTACGACGTCTGACGATTGCCCACGTCGCAACCAAGATACAACGTTGTACCAATGTAAATACATTTGTACAACGTTATGTGCCCACTGGGTAATTATTGATTACGTTGACCTTGCTCTGTTCCATTTTGATAACTAATGCACAAGTTGATTTTATTCAAATTATATACATAAGTTCCGAATTTAAATTGGGTCTTTGAATCTGACTTATAAGAGGGTTGCACTTAAGGGCAGATATACCATCTTTTAGTGGGCTTGTTTCGAACCTTAAACCATATGAAGCAACGACGGAGCTAGACGAATATGTTATATATCACATAGTGACTTCATTATTTACACAACGAAATGATGTTAAACATTGTACCAGCTTCCCAATGGACAGCGAGGAATGGTTGAAGATTTCAATGAGCAACTACCAATCGTGTTTTCAGTCTACATCATCTATCATCTTTATCCAGTGATAAACACATTATTTTCTATTTCGATTACATTTAAGGATTAGAATCAACCAGATAAATATACAACACATCATATGTAAATTGCATTGTTTCGATGTATTAATAATAGTGTGTAATTCAATTGCTGAGGGGCGCTAAATCACTGAAGATACCGGTACGGATTCTAGAGTTGATCGCCTCAATTAACACATTAAATTTTAAACGACAAGATCAGTGTTCAATGTTACTATGAGTTAAGAGCGGATGGTGACAAAACAGTTTTAAGAATATTGCTAAAAATGTTTACTACATACCTTTGCTGCGTGTATAACATCATTCATATTGTAGGTTATTTCTACATTTATTTTTGTTTATTATTTTCATTTGTCATGTTTGAAATATTGCAATAAAACATCGATTTTTCTACGGTTTGTAGACATCACTGCTTTAGATGCATATTGTGAGTTATTTTATCTATATAATTCAGTGTTGTAACTTGATCACAATTGCGAAAACTTTTGCATCAGTCATCGGCCCATTTTCTCGAAAGAAATGAAGTTCAGTTTTCTTGATTTAACTTCAAAAAGTCGATATGTAAAAGTAAAATATAGTTGACCATGTTTTCCATGCATTAAAATGGTTTGTGTAAAACTGAAAGAACTGAAAAAAGTTTTGAGTGACACAACTAATCTGAGCTTACATTCTTTGAGAAACTGGAGCTAGATTATAACAACCGACTCTTAATAAGTTTGAAAAGCTTAACGAAGGAAAGCAGAATCGCTAGCTTAATACTACGAGGCATATGCAGGATATTGTCGACCAATCATCTGATATTGACAGTCCTAGGCCGACACTGCTCCTAGAAGACATTTCATTGTCGGCTACACATTTTTAAACATAATAGATACACTGCGTCATTTAACTTCTCTAACAAATGATGTGACAAGTAAAATATTTCTGACTTAAATAAATAAATAATCTCCGTTGCACCAACGAAATAATAAATAAGCATTTTACAGTATTACCTGACTCTTTATTTAAGTGTATATGAAGCATTTTTGACTGTTTTAATAAAAACAAAAATCCCTGGAAAGACTGAAAACCCGTAAAATAATGTAAGGGTGCAACAGTCGATTGTTGCACACTTACTGTTACATACGCGACAATCGTGCGCAGACAAATTTACCGTCGGCGGCTCGACTCAAGCGTCTTTTTGTTACAGATTTGTTTGTTTTCGTCTGGTGATAATACATCATTTGTTTCATTAGTTTCTTTAATAGAGAGTCAGGTAATAAATCATTTGTTTCATTGGTACTGGGGGAACAATCAAATCCTTGACCCTCGGTAGCAGGGAATACCTAAGGAACTGTTGCCCTCGGCCAACAGTTCCCTAGGTTTTCCCTGCTACCCCGAGTCAATAATTTGACTGTTCCCCGCAGTACCAATGAAACAATTGTATAATTCCATATACTTTTCGAACAGTTGTAATATAATGCATGAATTGCTACTAACTAAGATTCAGGGTGGTGTTGACTTTTATGGATACCAAAAGCATGCATCTGACTATGAGAGAAAATATTAATTATTTTATCAATGAAAAAGAACATATAAATCAAACACATTTTACTGTTTCACTGTTTTACTAAACATGCAGTAGGTAAGTTGAGGTAACGGAGGTCCGATGTTATCGCACCTATGTACCCTCGTAATGACATCTGTCTAGCTGTCAGCAAATTTAATTCGATATCAACATTCCGGATCTGGCTTTGGGATAACACAAATGTTGACTCTGCAGCAGAATCCAAAAGGTTCTAAGTAGGAAGGTTCCCAGCACGCATCCGCCAAAGTCTCGGGCGTCTGGGGACACTCGCACTTAAAATCGTTAGAGTTTGGGCTAGGCACACAGGTGGCGGGAGGGTTACACTTAGGCTGGCCGTCACAAACACTCGGCAAGGTAGTCGGCGGTTCAGTTGTATTGATTGCCGCTGACGTCACTATGGCACCGGAAGTAGAGGAGGGGACTACAGGGCTAGAGGTTACTAATGACGTGTTACAATTGACGCCCGAGAATCCTGCATCACACGAACAGTGAAAGGTGTCGTTCAGTGGTGTACACAACCCGTTCAGACACGGGTTCGTGTCACAGGGGTTCAGCTTGTTACTACATGTTGGGCCGCCATAATCGACGGTGCAATTACAGATGTAAGAAATGGCGTTGCTGTAGCATGTGCCACCATGTTGACAAGGAGATATTGCACAATGGTCTTCTTGTTCGCAATGTCTCCCGGTGAAATTCCCTTGGCATGCACAGTAATAGCCGCCTGTCAGTTCTAGACAGGAAGCTAAAGAAACAGAAATAAAACAGTTCTGTCAATAAAATATTTCAAAATAGCAATATGCGTTATATAAATTGTAAACACAAATGCAAAACTTGAGTGAAAAAATCTGTCAGTTTTAGCATAAACATCACATTGGCTTTTTAAAAAGTAATTATAGAAAATGCCGAGGTAGGTCGGTATTTAAGTATCCCCCAATCAAGACATTGTCAAATTCCACGCAAATCCCCTCAGCAATTGGGTAAGAATGCCAACACAGTGGCGATCCCAGATTTTAGAACATAACGGAAGGATCAAATGGGGTCGGTAAAGAGAGATGGTTAACAAGTCGGTAAGAAGTTGATTAAAGCAGGATGTAAAAGTGTATCAAACGAAAGGGGTTAACAAAGCCGGATGGAACGAAAGACCGACACATAAGTAAAGCTTTATCAGTTTAAAAAAAACCACACACTGTGAATTAGCATAAAATCGATTTTATGATAAGAGAGAAAAAATAAACGAGAAGAGATGGCAAACAGCAATCAAAGACTTATCTTACTTCGGCAATGATTTTGTTTGATAACTTACCATTGTTGTAACAGGGACTGGAGTCGCACGCCTTTACAGGACCTGTAACCTTTGCTGTTCAACAAAACAAACATGTTACATAACGAACGTTTTACGTGTTGAATTGGAAAGTGTGTCGTATACAACGTCTGCTTTACCAACCGTCCTTACCCAACCATAAATTATACTGCGATATGGAAATATAAACTTTAATTTATACATATTTTTGCTTATACGATTGTTCAACATTTTACTTAACGAAATAGATATGACTTTTTCCTGGGTTTCTTATTTTCAACCAATGTCTTCTTGTTGAATGCATCAAACACAATAGACAATAAGTAACATCAATCTTTCTTATAATAACATTCATGATCATTATTAAAATGTCATAAAAATAAAAACATTTCGCAAAAAACAACGAAACAAATGTGTGGATAATCAACTTTGATTTATGATTTAAAGATGTGTATCAGCATTTATCTTCAGAAAACGTCTTTAGAATAATGTGTATACAGGTTTAGGGGATATAAGCGTTCAAGATGACCAATGTGGTTTTCAATGAAGAATCGAGAGCTTGCGTCTATGCCATCATCAATTGGGAACACGGATCTTCTACACAAACTAGAACATATGTCCTTTTCTCTTTTACCCTTTTTACAGTATTAACTACTCCTGTCTACCTTAGCGCACCTTAAGTTTATCTTTTTTCTACCGTATTGCCATGTTGGTGAGACATACATTGCATTCCAGTCTCTGGGGCAAAAAGGATGGACATAAATGGGGAAAAGGGTCTTTCAATGCCTATTCTCGAGTATGGTTGAAGGTAATTTCACTTCGTTTGTCATTAAGCACCGCTTGGACACGAAAATTACATGCTGTATGAATAAAAACCACAAGTTGTTTGGTGGAGGTGGAGAAGATTAACCCTCATTCAGATTAGAGAATTCCTGGCCATATTTTTAATAAAATAAATGAAGGTTTGACCCCGACATGGAACAGGGCTGGGTGCAAATAGCGGGAAAAATGTCACTTTAACTGTATATTTCGTGTCGGTGAATTTAACCTCAATGAGCATGGCATATCTCGGAATTAAAACGACGTTCTGCATAGGGGAAACATATCAAACACATGTTGGTTTCTCCAGTTCTATCAAACAGACTTTTAACTTTCACTTGTGCAATTGATCATACCATGACAACCGATATTTTTCGGCTGATTTAAATTAAATATTGCTAACTTGGACTATGATAGGCTGAGGTATTTTTGACACCCCTTCAATGTTCATCAAGTCAATTTATAAAACGTGTATATGACATGGTCCTAAATAGATATTTCTTTTTTAAAACTGACAAAATGAATTTCCACCACAAAAGAATGATGTTTATTATGTTTGTTTAACTTGGCTAATTGATTTGAATATAATATCGCTGTAGTGCCCTGTTTTCTTCCTAAACTTTGAAAACTATTCTGCTCGAGATATAATGCTCAAATTGCGGTGATCACATGGTCATGAAATAACTCGCCATATTTCCCTCCCGTTCACCTCAGTTATGTTAAACAATGTCGTGTTTTCCTCCCACGTTTACCCAGTATTATTTCATCCCATTTGTCAGCGTTGTGCTGTTGTTCTATTTCGGTATTTAACTATCACATAACCTGCGGCTTTTGATGATCCTTTTTAGCATTCGGACACATGACACGTTTCCAAAACATAGAAAATGAATGTAAATGTACATCTGTATAATGTTTATATTTGTGTGTATTATGTACCTTCTATTTCCGCTGTTCTGTTGAGTAAATCCGTTACCATTTTCTGCAGCTGTCCAACCTATAGGCAGTAATGTTATAATGAACTTAAGTATTTGCAATGTTGTCTGAAAATATTTAATCACATGTCAGGGGAGACAACTCTTCTCTTCTCATCGTTATGATATATTAATGTATTTGTGTTCGATTTTGGTACAAAAGTTATCAATTCCTGTTTCAAAGAAGAGTTAATTAGCATCCATTCTTTTTTTTTAAATTTCATTTACTACAGGTTTCAAAAACCGACTTGATTTTAAACTGAATACCGAACAGTGTTAAACTCAGGCATATGTACTTTTGCTACTACTGCACATGTTTGTTTTGAAATTGATATAGTTCTTCAATCATATAGGAAAGAAATTAAGAACTACACAATGGCTAATTTAAGTCGAATCTGAAAAAAAATCCGTTTCATCTAAAATATTACGTGATCTGTCAATAATGATCAAAAAACATAGGAAACGTGTAATGAAATTCGAAAATTGTATGTTGATTTGCGTTTTCCTTGCTACGCGAGTGTAAATTCTCTTCGATTGTTTGCTATTTGCGTTTGACATGTGTTTTCATATCGAAAGTTTGTGCGGTTTTCATGATTTTATTCGACGTATTTTTTTATTCATATATTTCTCTTTTTGTACATAGCTTTGAGTATTTGATCTGCTCTGTGATGTTTTGTGGTGTTATGGTTTTGCACAAAAAGAAGATTTTATTACCTAACCATGTGGAGTTCTGGTTAGAGGTTATGTGGCTTATGGTTATATATAAAGAATATTTTATTACCTGATCGGTGAGGTTTTTGGAGTTTTGGTAAGAGGCTATGGCATTCCCATTGTCCAGTATCCTGGCAGTCTGTGACTGGACCGTATGTTTCAGGTTAGCGATGTCTTTTTGTGCCTGTGTTAGGTCAGAGTACTTTGCACTCATTGCTGTAATCTCATCTTTCAGGTCACAAAACTGAGACTCAAATGCTGTAAATTATATTGGACATATGGAAAGACACAAGAAGATTTCTAATGATTACTGTGAAATCACTTATTTTCGTTGGCTTTCTAATTTCGTTAAATTTCGTGGGTAATTTTCATCAACGAATTTAGAGGTCCACGAAGTAATTACAAGTCTGATATAAAGCAATTCCCCGTTTCAGTGGGTATTCGTACTCCACAAATTCATGTACCCACAAAATGGTGTATTGTCGGGAAACCACAAATCATGGGCCTAACGAAACTACCTGATTTTACAGCATTGTTTTGAAGTGAAATTTTGTATCTAAAAAGGTTATTTGAAAATTGAAATCGTATCGTTCGCCGTTTTTTAATTCTTATTTCAAAATATATAAATGTCAAATATGTAAATTTCAATTCCTTACTTTATTTCCTGTTTTACGAGGAAAAATGTCGGCTGCTCACATATCAAACATATAACCATGATATTATACTTCATACCGGATATAAAGTTCATTATAAGAATGCCGGTACTATGAGTTAGTGCAACTTCAGTCCGGTTTGTTAGATAAAAATAAGATATTACTTACAGTCTGCATGAAGAATACAGCTGTTGTCTGTAAAAACATATGGGAAAATGAACAAAATACTGAGAACAAAATTCCAATACGCAATCAGCTCCATGATGTTGTAGTTCCAAGATATGTGGATTGTTATCTAGATAAGCAAGTGGTTTTATCTCTACAAGTTAACAATGGGCTAGACTTGTCTTTGCAGTCGTGGTGACCAACACAGGTTATGGGGATTACTGTTGATATAGAGATAACAAGTGTGTTGCCCTAGTCTCCGATATCTTGAAGGTATGCCTACATTTTTGAGTAAGGGACATACATGTACATTAACCATTATCGCGTACTGAATCCTGTAAAGTTTTTCCGCTCTGGAAATCTTTGCAATTTTTAATATTGATTTCTTTTAAGAGTGTACATAGTGGCGCTGTCAGTATTTCCACAGCAGGAATGTCATACACGTATTGTGTCAATATATTTCTTGCATTCATATTTCTTTTGCTGAAAAACATCAGCACAATATTCTCATCTGGTGACCCACAGGATGCCGAGTGTGAAGTGGCGATTGTATTTAATACAGAGTAGCATGTTTAGCATTAAGATGATGCTTTTGTGAAGTTCAGGTAAGTGGAAAGACAAATGAACACCCGATTTTGTTAAGTATTATCGGGTAAAATACAAATTAAAAGATTTTAGGAATTTTTGCCACTGATATGGCGGTATACAGTATATTTGCTTTGAAATTGGATTTTTAAAACAGTACTAGTGGTGGAAAGAACGAACATTAATTGTTACCCTAAACTGTGTAATTAACACCTTAATAATTATTACTTTGATATTTGTTTCCTTAACGTAAACTTGTAACTTTGAACTTTGCCTTAGGAAACAATTGTTCGATATTGAAGTTCTTGCGATAATAAATACATTCTAGGCGGATGGCAAACTGTTCTAGTGATTGTTACTTTATGTAACATTTGACACAGACCATGCCCATTGTCTTTAAAGATTACCATGAGTATGCTATAAGTATTTCTCCCATCAAAGAAATTACAACAAGTATGGAATCGGATATCCTCTTTTATTCCTATTCTAGTTCAATGGAAGCTAGAAATGAATTTTGATATGGAAGCAAACCGGTGTAAACGATGGAGAAAATCCACAGAATCAACATACTGAACATCAATATGCATAATATTTCTCGAGATATTCAATTTTTCTTTCGGTGATGTCTCCATAGAAACCTCTAGTTTACCTTAGTCAGAATTATGTGATCCGATTAAATGATACTGTGTTTGTGTTTAGATTACTATGGTGATACTTTTAGATTGCCCAGTCATCAGTAAACACGTTAAAACTGTAAAAACAGTTATATTACCTGGAGTGTCTGTGATCATAGAATCCATTACTTCCTTTGTCAATATCAACACTGGTTTATTGGTACAAACAAAGAAGACGCTAAAATCGAGTGAAATGTTTATTTGCATAGAAAATGCAAGTAATGCTGTTACTTATGCTTACTCTTTTAACTTTGAAGTATAGATTTCACCACGTATATCAGATATATGCATATAATCCACATATAATGATAGTGTTTTGTAAAAATATATATTATGAAATAAATACTATGTAATATGTTAAAACGCATTCATTAAAAAACCTAAACAGAAATAACGAAGGACGGTTAATTATATATCAACGAGAAATGTACATGGTATTTCCTTCAATCAAAACTGAAAAATAAATAGATGACATGTAAGAGAAAAATTAAAAAAATGCATGCTAGTTTATCACAGATAATTGAATAAACGCAACACAGTGTTACATCCACGAGAAAATTGCTATGAATGATTATCCTTTTGATCAAATATGATGATAATTGCGAAAGTAATTAAATACAATTATATCTTTACACGCAGGCGAATGGAATCAAATTTGCTTTAAAAATTTACAACGAGATTCCGTGATGGATGGCTGATATCAAAGTGTCTTGATTTTAAGACATGAACAAAACAGTACATATCACAGACGGGTATATATATATGAACATCACCCGTTCGGTCTCATACATTATACACAAGAATCGGCCTTTACATGGCCTTTACAGGATATCCACATCAAAACAAAAACAATGATATTTATCACAAAATCAGGTCAGGGTAATGTATCAAAACACTATTTAATGATATTTTATACAACTAATCGTATAACCTTTGGAACAAGATTTTTTACTCAATATCGAAATCCAGGTTCTGCTTTCAGAAACGTTTACATATCTTAATGCTTTCCATGCATTGAAAAGGGATATACAATCCTCAACGATATCATCCACTAAGCAACCCACTTAGCTACCAATTATATATCATTTACCATCGATCATTTTCCGTGACATGAACATATTTAAGACTGTTCATATTTTTTCCTCATTTACAGATAATTTTAGTGTGATTTTGTCACACATGTAACTGAACAGTTAAAACAAATGACTTAACCATGAGTACATATAGCGTGCATTCTTTTAACATCTACAAATATTCATACATTTCCATATAGAAAAAATAATCTTAATGAAATATCAATCGAATTTAACTATTTACAGTTTCCTGATGCAAAATACGCATAAATGATAAAAAGAATATTTTTATTCCATAACGTAGACTTAATAACAATACAAAAGATAAATACAAATCCATCAGCATGATTTATACAGATGTATAACTATTTACAAATTTCTGTTTACAAGTTTACCACTATGATAACGTATTCAAACGAAGAGTCAAAATACAGGATGACAACCTTTCGTACAATGTACGACTACGGGCAGCTCGTGTAGTGTTCACAGGATGGACAACACAATGATCTCAGAACCGTTACCGCATAATACATCACATACTAAACAAGCTAATTTATAAAATCGAATTGTTAATACTCTCCAAATAGGACGTACGTATATAACTGTAAGAGTTATAGTGTGAATATTTACCTATACTCAATTTACGTACGCACGAAAAGTTCTGAATACTGACAACATTGTATGAACGTCTATTCCTGACTTATTATCTATACATATGAGTTTCCCTAATAATACAGAATGTGTCCCCATAACAACCAAACTATGTATGGAAATTTCCTATGTACCAGTTATAGCCACTCCTTTGAAATATCTCTCGGTATCCAGGACGACCCATCTCAAACTTATAAACAGTGCTTTCTTCTGCGAAATTATATAATGAAATCCACAACCAAATCACTGTGGTATACCTCGTAGGGTACCATGCTGTTTGAAAGTGTCCTTTTACTTTTATGTATCACAAATTCATTTCACTTCGATCTGTAAAGAACATTTTGATACATGTTATTTGAAATTCTGTCTACGCGTTACTGGGAGTCTTCTAGTGGTTATCAATGGAGGTAAGTGTCATCTTAGTGTGGCGCCCACGGCGATTTCATCTCATAGTACTTCTGAAAAGACAAAATACATAATATATCATCTTTGCATGAACATGTAATCTTTTTACCGTGCAGAAAACCCCACACCCTCAACAGCACCTCTGATAAATACAAAGCACTCCAGTGGCGATAAACATATTTTAAAACTTCCTGAAATTGTATTGTTAAAGAATAGGAAAAAAAAAAAGAAAAAAAAAAAACCCCAAAAAAAAGAATATACAGGAACTACACAAAACGCTTGTTACTTAAAGAAAGATGAAAAAGATTACACTGAAATACAAATAATGAACCAATATTGGAGATGACAAAATAATGAAACTTAAGCAAACTTTCAGAAACATTGCGTATCATATTAATGAAGTGAAGAATACTTGCACAATGTATTCAATTATCTTTATATTTTTAATCATGTTAAAATATTTATTCATCCTATTTAATCTTAGATTTATTCTAATCCTTTCTCTTGATATCGAATCATAATACAACTTGGAAATAACTAACAATACGTGAAATTGAATAGTAAAACACAGGCTAAATAATACCAACCGAACATATTTAGAGTAAGAAACAAGCCGTAATCCAAACAAATGAATATGATACCTATCATGTTTCCCAAGTTTCATAGATATCAGTCAAAAAGGTAATCTGGAACGCTTAAGAAATATTTCATCGACGGAAATTATAAAAAAAAAACATGATTCCATTAAAGAAATCGTTAAAATGCAAAAAATGCATATGTACAACTACAAAGCTTTTCTAATTATAGATGTAGAGATTCATAAACATACAGAAATAACGTCAGGAGGTGTATGCCCAACGACAATCCTATGTAGGATACGAAAAAATTTTTAAGTCAAAAGAGACGTTATACTTATTTTAGATATCCGGATCGAGAAAAGAAATCACAGATTCACAACTTCAGAGTGTAGTGACTACCTCCCCAGATTTTCAAGAAATTGAGATGAAAAGTGAAGGAGATGTCCAGGGAGGATAACCTCTGCTTAAAGATTGACATACATGCACACCATGATTTTAGTATGATACCCCTTAACTTCGTTACGGTGGTGTAGAATGTAAAACTTTTCAGCTACTAGGAATATTAAGCAATGAACCGGAAAACGAAATATCTTCGAACATATGTAGTCATGCTTTTCAAAACATCCATCTCTGTCATATTAGCACAACTGACCTGCTAACATTGGAATTTGCGTATTTCAAGCTTTATTATTAAAGAGAAAAAATAGAAGCTACTTTCTCTTTTCCACGTTCAAAAGAACCAACACCCCCGATCCATCGCCATACATGCTTAATATAGTTGGTAAAAGAAATATGCGTTCACCTACAATAAAACATTCCGACATTCAACATTTGCATGGTTCCGTCTCCACAAAAAAAAAAAAAAGCAAAACAAGAGAGTAGCAAAACTGATGTTCCTGAAAAAGCTGTTAAAATTCAATTTCAGTTTCATATTTTGACGAATGAAAATGTCATGGGATTACATTAATCGTGTGAACCAAATTCAAAATCTGAAAGTAATGATAGCTAAATTGCGTACAGAAGAAATACAACGAAACATTTCCATTGGCTCTCTTAAGGCGGTATCGATACAATTGCACCTACACTATTGTCTATGGTGATTTATAATTCAAATAAATGAACTCTTGATGGATGTAATTACTAACACAACTTAGTATTAATAGTCACATCTAAAAATAATAAATATATCATGTTGAGAACAGTTATGATAGTAAAGCAACATGACCTAGATAAACAATCACACTGAACCAAGATACACTGGAATCTGTATTAAGCGACCACACAAGGGAAATTAAAAAAACGGTCGTTTATTAAAAGTGGTCGTTTAATAAAGTTTGACCATATTTTGTACACACAACCGTCTATAACCAAACGACTCCTTATTCAGACAACTGTAAACAGACCACCGCCCGAAGCGCACGTACAGGTAGTTTAAAACAACATCGTTCAACAGATCAGGTGAATAAATAAACAATAGTCGAGGGATAATTATGACAGTAAACAAACAACAAAGAGTGATTGAAAAGAATTTTCATTTCACCCAGAACAAAAGATCGACGGAGACTTGTTGAAGTTTTCAACTTACACGACTGTGTTTTCGGTAATTACCATGATTTAAGCTAACCTAATTGCTACGAAATATATTGTTGTTGAAATGATAGCCGTTCCTGTGTTGGTCCAACAGAAGGGTCCACGTGTAATATTCCTTTATTTTACGATGGAAACTGGAGAGAGAATCCAGTTAAAATAAATACCTAAATAAAGCCGACAGCATGTTGCTGTAAAACGGACCGGTATTGTTGTCGTCAGTGCTTTGGCGTTGAGAAGTTCAGGGATGTTATTAAAGGCGTTTAATATTGATGAGGAATTAGCAACGATATGTATGCTAACATAAGCATATTTAGTGGGCATTTGCGCTGATAATAATAAGAATTTCGCACGAGAGTGCTTTCGTGAACATCGTAGGGTTAAAGGTTACATTGCCTAGCAGGACACTCGCGCAATCAAAATCAAAAGTCGCGTTAGACAGATGGTCGCTTTAATACAGTTGAATTACATAGTAAAAAAGGTCGGGAGGAATGAAAAGTGGTCGCATGAAACAGATGGTCGTTGAATACAGATGGTCGTTTGAGCAGATTCGACTGTACATTAATAATGCTAACACGCCTTATGTTGCTTACTTCCGAACATATTTTTTTTAATTTATCCCCTTCATCAAATCTTGAAATGATATACAGCAATAAATGGAAACTATGATTATCTTCAGCATATCGACTAGTAAAAACATTGACGTTTGATCCCTGGATATGACGCTTTTTAAACTTCATGAACCCGAGAGAAAACTTTCAAAACTAAAAACGCGTATTTTTTTAAAAAGCTGAACGTAGATGATATACCCCTCTTAGACGAGTGGACTTGATCAAAGCAATATTGGTCGTATTCCTTATCTGCAACGTTCACTTACAAACTGCAGGGCTACTGCATTTGAAATATCTAAGCTTTTAAGATATTTAAAGCATGATATCCCTATTGTTTGTGTTCGAATTTCACTTCTAAGCATGGCTCTTCTGTTGATCATTCGTTCTTTTTTAGCAGAAATGAATTCGAACGACTTGATTAAGGTATAACAGCTGTCATAATAATTTGCTTGAATATATGCAGTCAATGAGATACTAATAAAACTAAACAAAAGTACCTCGTCATAGGTTACTAATAAAACTAAACACCAGTTCCTCGTCATAGGTTACTAATAAAACTAAACACAAGTACCTCGTCATAGGTTACTAATAAAACTTAACACCAGTACCTCGTCATAGGTTATTAATAAAACTAAACATCAGTTCCTCGTCATAGGTTACTAATAAAACTAAACACAAGTACCTCGTCATAGGTTACTAATAAAACTTAACACAAGTACCTCGTCATAGGTTATTAATAAAACTAAACATCAGTACCTCGGCATAGGTTACTAATAAAACTAAACACCAGTACCTCGGCATAGGTAACTAATAAAACTAAACACCAGTACCTGGTCATAGGTTACTAATAAAAAATAAACACCAGTACCTCGTCATAGGTTACTAATAAAACTAAACACCAGTTCCTCGTCATAGGTTACTAATAAAACTAAATACCAGTACCTCGTCATAGGTTACTAATAATACTAAACACCAGTACCTGGTCATAGGTTATTAAGAAAAAATAAACACCAGTACCTCGTCATAGGTTACTAATAACACTAAACACCAGTACCTGGTCATAGGTTACTAATAAAAAATAAACACCATTACCTCGTCATAGGTTACTAATAAAACTAGTCATAGGTAACTAATAAAACTAAACACCAGTAACTGGTCATAGGTTATTAATAAAACTAAACACCAGTACCTCATCATAGGTAACTAATAGAACTAAACACCAGTACCTCGTCATAGGTTACTGATAACACTAAACACCAGTTCCTCGTCATAGGTTACTAATAAAACTAAACACCACATAGGTAACTAATAAAACTAAACCCCAGTACCTGGTCATAGGTTACTAATAAAAAATAAACACCATTACCTCGTCATAGGTTACTAATAAAACTAAACACAAGTACCTCGTCATAGGTTACTAATAAAACTTAACACCAGTACCTCGCATAGGTTATTAATAAAACTAAACACCAGTACCTCATCATAGGTAACTAATAGAACTAAACACCAGTACCTCGTCATAGGTTATTAATAAAACTAAACACAGGTACCTCGTCATAGGTTACTAATAAAACTAAACACAAGTACCTCGTCAAAGTTTAGTTATAAAACTAAACACCAGTACCTCGTCATTGGTTACTAATAAAACTAAATACCAGTACCTCGTCATAGGTTACTAATAATACTAAACACCAGTACCTGGTCATAGGTTATTAATAAAACTAAACACCAGTTCCTCGTCATAGGTTACTAATAAAACTATACACCAATAGCTCGTCACAGGTAACTAATAAAACTAAACACAAGAACCTCGTCATAGGTTACTAATAAAACTTAACACCAGTACCTCGCATAGGTTATTAATAAAGCTAAACACCAGTACCTCATCATAGGTAACTAATAGAACTAAACACCAGTACCTCGTCATAGGTTACTGATAACACTAAACACCAGTTCCTCGTCATAGGTTACTTATAAAACTAAACACCAGTACCTCGTCATAGGTTAATAATAAAACTAAACACTAGTACCTCGTCATAGGTATCTAATAAAACTAAACACCAGTACCTCGTCACAGGTTACTAATGAAACTTAACACCAGTACCTCGTCATAGGTTACTTAAAAAACTAAACACCAGTACATCGTCATAAGTTACTAATAAAACTAAATACCAGTACCTCCAGTACCTCGTCATAGGTTACTGATAAAACTAAACACCAGTACCTCGTCATAGGTATCTAATAAAACTAAACACCAGTCCCTCGTCATAGGTTATTAATAAAACCAAACACCAGTAACTGGTCATAGGTTACTTATAAAGCTAAACACCAGTACCTCCTCATAGGTAACTAATAAAACTAAAAACCAGTACCTCGGCATAGGTAACTAATAAAACTAAACACCAGGACCTCGTCATAGGTTACTAATAAAACTAAATACCAATACCTCGTCATAGGTTACTAATAAAACTAAACACAAGTACCTCGTCATAGGTTACTAATAAAACTTAACACCAGTACCTCGCATAGGTTATTAATAAAGCTAAACACCAGTACCTCATCATAGGTAACTAATAGAACTAAACACCAGTACCTCGTCATAGGTTATTAATAAAACTAAACACCAGTACCTCGTCACAGGTTACTAATGAAACTTAACACCAGTACCTCGTCATAGGTTACTTAAAAAACTAAACACCAGTACATCGTCATAGGTTACTAATAAAACTAAATACCAGTACCTCCAGTACCTCGTCATAGGTTACTGATAAAACTAAACACCAGTACCTCGTCATAGTACCTGGTCATAGGTTATTAATAAAAAATAAACACCATTACCTCGTCATAGGTTACTAATAAAACTAAATACCAATACCTCGTCATAGGTTACTAATAAAACTATACACCAATATCTCGTCACAGGTAACTAATAAAACTAAACACAAGAACCTCGTCAAAGTTTACTTATAAAACTAAACACCAGTACCTCGTCATAGGTTACTAATAAAACTATACACCAATACCTCGTCACAGGTAACTAATAAAACTAAACACAAGTACCTCGTCAAAGTTTACTTATAAAACTAAACACCAGTACCTCGTCATAGGTTACTAATAAAACTAAATACCAGTACCTCGTCATAGGTTACTAATAAAACTAAACACCAGTACCTCGTCACAGGTTACTAATGAAACTTAACACCAGTACCTCGTCATAGGTTACTTAAAAAACTAAACACCAGTACATCGTCATAGGTTACTAATAAAACTAAATACCAGTACCTCGTCATAGGTTACTAATAAAACTAAACACCAGTACCTCGTCATAGGTTTCTAATAAAACTAAACACCAGTACCTCATCATAGGTTACTAATAAAACTAAACACCAGTACCTCATCATAGGTTGATCGTCGAACACTTTTGTAATTAAATAAATACTGCTATTTGTAACAAAAATTTAAGCACTTTTCCTATTGGTGTTATTTCCTTGTTACGTACTAAGTATTAGCTACTCTCGTTGTTTTGTTTTCGAATTATCTCCTTTTGTATACATAGACAGAGTTATTAGCTGCCGCATACAAAGGGAAATAATGTATTTGTTCAATCGGTTTTATCATAAACTGACTTAAACTACTGGCTTCAATTAGAAACGCACAACTACAGTCAATCAGTCAGTTTGAATGAACACATATTCAAAATATTTTTCAATGTATGTATTATTACAATCAATCTTCAAATCAATTAACTACCTATATTCATTATATATCTATATAGCTACTATATAAAGTATACTTATGGCCATTCGTATTACTGCAAATCAAGTGCAAAATTAATTTATCGACCATATTTGCATAATCAAACAACGCTGTCTGTGATATGAGGACCACCAAACGCCGATCAACTGTGCGAATTACATCAAAGTCAACATTATGGAAATTAGAAGTCAATAAGAGCACATTAAAAAATCTTTCTAAATCGAATAACTGAAATAAGGTATGCTGTTTTCATGTCTGAACAATACCTTTAAATGTCGTATATTTGTCCAACAAAATCAAGTGGATTTATTATTTAGAACGACATTCAAAATCAAAGTAATTTTATAAGCTTCGAAAAATTCAAACACGCAAAAAAATCCAATCTTTAAAAATCAAAACAGAATAACAAATATTGACAAACACAAATTACACCAAACAAACGACACACAAAAGACAACAGGAAAAGACGTGCCTTTCAATCAATTACACACCCATCCCACACACACATATACAAAAATTAAGAGAAGGAACCGCCACCGATTGGGAGTTAATTACGCATCTATTGTGTTTATAATTAACTTATGAGAACATTTTATGTACCTATATCCTTCAAATTGTATGAAGCCATTAAAGCGGCATTCGCTAGAGCTACTGAAATGACAACGTTTGGGGTAATCTTTGTCATGAAAAATAAGCAAAATGTTACAACTGAGAAAATAATTATGCATTCGAAAGGCAGGGCTAACTTAAATAGATCTAGTCAGGACAATGTATAAACACCATTATTCGAAAAGCAATGGTTAGATATTAGCAGCAATTATATGCACAACATATTTATGACGCATAAATAAATAAAAAAATGCATAATGTGTTAGGGAATGCTTCGATAACTTCTTATACTAAAACCATTACAAAGCACATTGACTGTTAATGACGTGCGAGTGATGACGTACCTTAGAAAAGCTAGGACCTGTCATTGGATAGTCATACTGATTAGCGTGGTGACTATCCACGGTGACACGTGTGTATCTAGGCGACAGGTCGTCGTTGGAGTCATAGCGAGGGGTGATCTGTTGGCAGAACAAACAAATCAAAGCTGCTACGTTCAACCGCTACAAAGAATTTCTAAAGGTTGATAACTAATGCTGCCAACTAATGCTATATGCCTCCTCTTTATCATTTTGGAGCTGTCATACACTAAGAGGTATATATCATTTAAGAGAAGCAAGCTTTTATATCTAATAAGATAATTGGAATCGGAATGTTCTTCATAAGAGTTACCGGGATAGAGACTATGATATCCATTATTACATAGTGACTGTTTTTCAGTTGTTTTATTTATCAAATTGACAACACCATTTAAATTCAAACAAAACCGGACGGATAAAAATACCCCTTGATTTTCAATAAGTTTGTGAGTTAAAAGAAATGTTTCGAATGTTAGATTATATAATTTTAAACATATACACATTTTTAAATATATATGTAAATTATGAAATTATATTCCAGATATTAATGTTTCTTGCTCTGAAATAGTAATTTTAAACCCAAATATGCTTCATCTAAACGTTACAAATAAGTAAAATGTATATAGCTAGTAAAAGCTGTTGACATGAAATACAAATGTATTTGAAAATAATATCATGAAATAATACAACTACATGTACTCTGTATCACAGCGAACTGGCAGTAATCTGTATTCGGGAATGTGCAGGAGTAAGTTACCATTAATGGGGATCACGAAGCCAATACGGTATTATAGTGCACAGCAAAATGGCAGGGGAAAAGCAGGGGTTCGGCATGAATAAAGCAAATATTTAGCCACATGGTTCATCAGGGTTCATACTTGAAACGAATTAGGCAGGAAATCGATATCTGGGGAATTGGATGAATTAGTACTAAGTATTCATGAATTTCAAATAACTCTAAATCTACGGTGTAGCCACTTAAGTTACTTCTGGATACACGTTCTGCAAATATATGTTTCCCATGTTCCAATTAACACATATTAATGTAAACACTTGAGCGAATGAAACACGGAAAGCAATAAGCACAAGCTACACAGAACAAAGTTTCATAGAAAAAGCTAACATATGTTCCTCTTTCAGATGGTAAAATCCAAGATAATTCACCCATATTGATAGCTGTAGCATGATCATACTGTGGTACTATTTGATATAACTTATTAAATAATTTAAATAATTAGTAGAATTCGACACGGTGTGAAGTTACGAACACGACAAAACAAGTGCACCATATAATCAACTGCAGTCGTAAACAGATATCTGTATAAACATATTGAGACCTTGTGATCTATGATCTTTAGCTTTTCGCTTCTTCAAAAAGCTTGCGATTCTTTTTTGTTTGATTTTTTGTTTTTTTCGTTTTTGTATTATTGTTTTTTTAAAGTTCGGCTCCAACACATTTAACATTTTCCTGAAAATTCTGTTTCCGAGATAACGAAAAACGGATTCACAAGATTTCATGGTACAGAATAACATTTAGCAAGGCAATATACACACTTTTGATGCATTAAATATGAACAATAGAAACCTATTCATTGGTAAATGGAAATAATATTAAGTGTCAAAAGCATTACGCCGATGTACATATCACTTGATGTACTGATGCACACATATTTGATGACGCATAAATAATAAACAGTACAAGCAATATTCCCAAATAGTGAATATATTTCATTATATTTCTATTTGTCCAAATGTAATCATCTTATTTTAGTTAATAGCACTTCGCAGATGAATAGCTAGAAAATTATATTCAAATCATCATTTGATCTTTTTGTGTATTTCTATACCGTTCTTTTCTGCAAAATGCTATTGCCGTAACATGTATACTGATTTCCCTTCTACATGGTAAACTTTTGTTGAAACGATAGATAAAACCTATACACGGTTATCAATATCAATAATACCAAAATTCCATGTGTTGATGACAACATTTTGCTTTTCTGGTACAGCACCTTAAAATTTTATGGTTTATTATTTTAAAAATGAAATTTTAAATCTAAAGTTTACAATTTCCAGAAATAATTCTTGTTGTCTTGAGAACAATACTTGATTTGCGTTGGTCCTAAACAGGAATTTAACAATCGAATTTCAAAAACCACCATCACGCATAAATAGCAACATATTTAAATCGTTTTAGAGAAAATGTCTTATTTTGAAATTTAAAAAAAACAATAACAAAAACAGATTGCTTTAAAAGAACGACAGAAATAGTTTTGGAAAATATGTTAAAAGGAAATCAGCATACATGGTTTCATTGTACTTCATGATTAGTGTAAGAATAATCGCTTGTTTACTTGTGGTGCAGCGTTCCTTGTAGTAAAATCATCCCATCCTGGAGTCTAAAATAGATATGTATGATGCATTTATTTGACAATTGTTACACTTTCGTCATCTTTTTAGACCCCAAGAGGCTCCACTTCGCATTCCGAACTCATATTAAGAATTTTAATTTTAAGACCATAATATCCGTATACCGTTCATTATAAAAATCAACTGGTGCTTAAATCACTGTCGGGAACCAAATTTTCAGATGAAACGTAAAACGGTCTCATTTCAACTAAACAGATGTTTATAGTAATTTTCTCAAGAAGTCATGACGAAATAAGCTTGTCGATGATATATCTTTTCAGTTTTAAACTTGTTGTGACTGAAGCATTATCTGTTCCAGTACAACCATGTCATCACCATGGATGTCTAGAGCTAGCATTGCATAGATTCTATTCTACGATATCTTCCACAAAAACATTTGTTGCATAAAATGGTCTGAACGCATCTTAATATAAAAACTAATAGTAAAATAGGCAGTCAACCAGCCCTAATTATTTACTGTAAACGTACATATTTTAGCGACAGTCTTATTTAACCCATTTTTGCGCTTTTCAAATTGCGGTAAATAATCAATGCGCCAATTGAAGTTAATGTATGTTATTCTCTAAAGCATATTTTTTGGATGCTCCAAATATTCAATGCGCTTAACCGTTAAAATTTGATAACGCACTTAAATAAGTCTGTTTACAGTACATGATGGCCATTAATATTTGACTGATCCAGTCAATAGTTTACATCTACACACATAAATAGAAATAATATGCAATAAAAAAAGAAGCTGATCCAAAAATATGACTACAACATGCAGCTGATGACAGCTCATTAATGAGTGGTTCAAACGCATGCAACGCACATACACGCATGTTTTGAGTGAGCATGGCAAACACATTGCATGTAAAGCAGCTGATATTGTTGATGATGTTTCCATTATCTAATTTGTCCACCGACAGCATTTATAAAACCTTCATGCAAATACATGCAAGCAATGAAAGTGGGACTTGGCGGACATGGTTTATTGATTTACATCTGATAGTTATATGTATGCGTCACAAGTATAATGCAAAATTAGGAGAAATAACAAAATAACATGATGACTGTTATAGTTTACAATCTCGGTAAATTTGGTCTGTTGTATTGGAATCAATATAAACAAAACTATATTCCTATAAGTGGTATGTTCTTGAACGTTTCTGTGGACTGCGATCATTGTAAAATAATGAATTATGTAAAATAAATGATCGTACATGTAGAAAATGTCGATAAGCTTGACTACATTATTAGGATATATTTCTTGTAACGAGGCATGAAAGTCCATAACAATGTTAGTTTTACAAACCATATTTGTTTCCGTTATTAGTATAGATATTGTAGTATAATTAGCTTGCGTTTTGATATTCAAAGAAATGCATACAAATCATCAACTTATTGTTATCCGATTAAAGCCCACTGAAGCAATTATCCTGTTATACTCATGCAGCGTTAAGTAGATCAAAGTCTAATGTTATATGCTAATCATAGATAAGTTTTGTCCAAACATCAGTGTGTCATACGAGGACGCACCTTGTCATCGAATTGAGACCAGTCCTTCCCTTTTACGTAAACATCCGTCATGGAGAAACGCTAGGGTCAAAATTAAAGTTTACTGTAAGCTCTCTTCCAGTTAGTGTCAATATAGGTAGATATATATACACTCTGTACAAAAAGACTTAACGCATCACCATTGACATACAGATTTAGATATGCAGGGGGAAAAGTAAGTTTCAACCTTTTACCTTAATAAATCAAATGAATTCGCAAACAAGCATACAAATGAGTCATAAGACTAACCCCATATTATGAGATGTTAATTGAGTTCACAAGATTCATAGCGAGGAATTTTGCTGAGATGGAGAACACACCTAATCAATAATTACATTTTTGACTTTTTAATGTTTTTTAACAGGTTTAACATTCTATTGTATGATATTAAATTTTCACAAACGAATTACACGCGATGTTTTGATAAAAAAAGGAGTTTGGTTCTGGCTAATATGATAAAGTTGTATTATTTCCAAAAGTAACTTACTCCTTTCTCTTCATTGTTGATAAGGTTATCTAGGTTTCCCTTGTGTGTATGTTGTTCGCTTTTCCTGTTGCCACCTCCATATCGCCCCCAGTATGTTGACATTTTGTCAATATGCTGAAAAAGAAACAGAATAATAATTTCACTATATATTTATTTGATTTATTCGTCTCTTCAGTGTAGCTCCTCAGTCAAAGATTGAGTTAGGTGTGCCAGCCTATTTTGATAAAAAAAAATACTAAAAAGTTTCATTATAATAAACTATAATGGTAACAAAAACAGGGCAAAGTTTACAATAAAAAGTAGTCACCTATCTAAAGGTTTATCATGTGGGTACGTCTTTGTTAACGTTAACCTACCCGACGAGATTCCTGGTAATCTTTCATCCTGTCTAGTCTCTTCTTGGCCAGATTATTAGAAAAGCCAACATCTAATTCCTCGTGGTACTCCCGAGCTTCACGGAAATCCACTGGGACGCGGCCATCTCTCTGAGTTAATCAATATAAAGGTGTATGTCAAAATAATTTGTTCTCGTTTTCTGTGGCAAGTTAACATTTACCTTTGTTGTAAACAATTTTTTATTTTCATTTGTTTTGTCAAATATCTTTAAAATCCTTAATACGATTTTTATGATGCATTATTAGCCGGAGAATATATTCGTATACTTTAAATGATATCATTTTAATCCCACAATTTCCCCCAAACAATCTGTTCTCTTAGAAATACTTCACACGAAATACCATGTTTTACAGTAATATTTGACAGTCTTGTCTCTATTATGGGTGAAACAACAAATATAATTTGATACAATATAAGCAGTTATACTTACAGCACGTGATATGTCACTGTGAGGTAAATGATGTTTTGATCGGGGACGTGCCCTATATGAATCGATGATATCCGCATAATCTCTTTGCTAAAAAACAAATAGTTGTTGTTAAAGTTATTGCGTAAGCAAACAAAATCTTCCATAAGTATTTTGCATTTGCAGTGATCTAATGTTGACTTTTATCAATCCCCGGGTAAAGGGCGAGAGAAAAAAAGAGTTAATCATTATATAGTTATGGGTATTAGGAGGGAATTCTAAGCTTGGATATATAGTATGGGATCAGAACGTCGGACGAATTATACACCCTCTGAGACGATTTCTTCAGTTTTTCATAGACATTTTGAAAGTGTTGCCTCCAATTGTATTTTCCTACTTACACTTTCGTGTTTATGACGGTCTTGTTCATTGCCCTTGCGTGTATTTTGTGCCACCTGTACATCTGAAAAGAATACCGCATTTTTTTTTATAATACTCTTTGAATTACGTTAACCGAAACAGTTAAATGGTATTTTTATACAGCTTTATGAATGTAATCAATTGATATTGCCAAATCATGTAAGTGATTAAAGACATTGACCACACATTTAGCGCTGTATGATGACGCTTGCACTTCGGGCATACGTCACTAGAAAGTTTGTTAAAACAGCTAAATGCTTACACATTATTAATAAAAATGTTAATTTAAAGTAAAAGATTGCAATGGGATTTATAAAGATAGTGCCCTAGTCAAACCAATTATGGCATCACGTCAACAACAACAACAGAGAATATGGATGTCACGTCAACAATGCATTAACGTCAAGTATACGACAGGGTCAACAGGGTAACAAAACAAGGATCATTCACCCCTTTGAGATGTGATGGAGAATCTAAACCCTAAGGACAGATTCTAACGTTACATAACATTTGGCAAGCCTCGTGTTTAACAACTTAAGATTCCTTCCCCTCGAGTTGAGATCCATCTATTTAATTCTCAGGAACTGAAATATTCTTTCTAATTTTTTAAACTTTCCATCATGGGAAAACTCTATTTTACATGGTCAAGTCATGCTCGTAATACGATATCAAGCGATGATTACATGTCATAACTCACCCAGGTCTTCACGATATTTTTTCTGCATTATCTTCTCGTTCATTCTTTCTTCTTCCTGCCTCTGTTGGAAAAAAAACCACATTATATAACACATGCAGACTTCAACGATGATTCATTACCGTATGTTTTTATCCAACACAAACTAGTTATATTATGATTAATACATTGTTGTTAGGGCTCACTTCATTAACACGCTCTTATTTGTATTTTTATTTCATAATTTAGGGTTATATAAGGGTGGTCACAAATGCGCACCCTAGGTGGGAACAACATATGTCCTTATCAATTGCAATGTTTCCCTTCTATTTTAATCACTAGAAAATCTTTATCGTCATTGTAAATTTCTCTTAAAAATGGGAACATATAGGCCATGGATGAAGACAATAAAAATCATTTCCTTTAGGTCACATTTAAATAGCATTGTCTAATCGACACTTTTACTTTTATAAATTATTGACAAATAGTTGACAAATAATTTCAGTTTATATCACTGTCAAATTCCTATCTTTATTTGCAAAAGGATTCGTTCAAAGACAGGAATGTACAGGTCATTGGATATTACATAACAATAGATATATATACAAAAGTCCTTTTATTTACATGTTTGTCAATTGGATCGAATATCTATTTAGCCAAAGATGTCATTCAGAGTGTTTCCTTACATATACATCTGAGATATTTACGCTTCTTTAGTACATAATAACACATCAGCTCAGGGGTAATACATGATCCATTTTACACTGTTAGTGTCAACTTAAAAGGTTATCCTTAAAACGGAATCGGGATGTGAACAAATCTTTTTCTGGGAAAAGTGACCTATGTTCATGAATTTTCATGCAGTTATAAAACAGTTAAAGATCTTTTTTTTTAATCTAGCAAGGACAAAATCAATATTGAAACAAGAGTAAGTTCGTCTTTTTTAAAATCAGCAGTTTATTATCTTTTTTCTCTCAACACAACAGGATATTGCCAAATCTGAATAATGACTGATAACCATATCATTTAACATTAAATTGAATGATATAATTTAAAAGTAGCGCAAAACCTTCAACATATTTGACAATTTGAGTTATATATATATATATTTTAATGACCGGGTATAAATTCAGGAATTCAAATCCATACAAATACATCAAAAAGAAAGTAACTTCACAGATGTATTAAAGGTAATACAAAATACAAACTTAAATAAAATTCAGTGAACATTTCAACTCAAACAATCCAGTATGTATTTAAATATATATATGCATATCAAAATGTTATATTAAAAGAATAAATACAATGTTGAGAAAACAGAAACACAATACAGTTCAGTGCAACATTCAAACGTGTGCCAGCAACATATAATAGGGTGCTTGAATAGAAATGGGTGGCGATACAGGTAAGACAAAATAGCATAGACGGAAAGAGATCTAAAACTATAGCCTATCGATATTTGCTTTTTTCCTTATTTCTTTCTTTCCGTAAACAAGAAATGTTTTATCAATTGATTTATTCCTACTATTGAGACATTTGGCTGTGTCAAATAGAACAGAAACCATCATATTCATATGAATTTACCTTATATAACACAGGTATACCAAGGTTCTTGCTATGATCATATGAAGGATTTTATTCAGAAAAGCTACGAATGTAAATGCAGTATTTGCATTGTAATTGAAAACATAAAGTAGCTCATAACTTTAGTAACAAAGTGAAAAGACAAACGAAAGAGTGATTTGCATAGAGACTATGTCTACGAAGCACAAACAGTTTTTTTAACATATGTATGAACTTGGCTTAAATATTCAAGCCATTTTGAAAAGAAAATACTTTATGATTATGTGTTTAAGTAGCAGCTACCAAATTACTTACATCTGGTTTGATGTTTAAAAAGCTCTGAAATTATTTTCCAATTAATGCATAACAGCTGAATAATAAATTCACTTTGCCAAACGAAGCATATGTGTTTAAGAATATACCCCATACATAGTTTGATGACATATCAGGCTGATGTGAAACAAACGTTTTCGATAATAGATTTGTTTTACATGAAGCAGTAACATTTGTGATGATATGGCGTAAATATATATAAATATATATCCCTGGATTATATTCAATATGGAAAACAATCCGTCGTTACGGTGGTACCACGCTTCAAGACATGTTCTGGCCTTCCCCCTAGTAAACCAGTATCTATCAAATCCCCACACTCCTAATTAAAAGCAGCAGTATCTATCGTTTCCTTCAACGGCTTAGATAACAGCTCATTATCTTAAGACACATCGCTGTTGCGCCAAATGATATATAGTAGTACACCTATCTTAACCTGACTTGATTGGGTTTTAATGTGGCGTCAACAAATTAAAAATGTTCCGAAATAGATGAGGCATGCGAATAACCGGTTTTCTTATGTTTCTTTTAAGTGAGTTTTTTTTTGTTATTCAAAAGATCAGCTCCGCCAAGTCAAATATTCTGATAAGCCTAAACAACGTTTCTATCATATCGATACACTACCCGTGTCCATTCAATACAGACGTATATCTCATACAACAAATACATAATTATTATAATCGCATGGAACGCCAAGAATAATGTCTGCTCTGCCTTCAGACAATTATAAAGATCAACATGAAGCGTCAAACAAAATATTAAAAAAAACGTGCTGTAATCACATACATTTCCTTTGACAAAATTTTCCATAGACTGAAATAAAAACACACGTGATTGATAGCAATTTAGTTTTGAAAGTACTAGACTAATTCAAACATAGATATATTACATCTACCACACGCCCAATCGTCACAGAACAGTTATCAATATCTAATTAGCAATAATGACAACAACGAAAATAAATAAATAATGTAAACAAGTATTTCAGAAAGACAATGAATTCAGTCGAACTTTTCACACATGCCCACATTCGGCTTCTAAACTGTGTATGTCTCACTTATATGAAAGTAGAATGAAACATTTGCACAGACAGTATCGGACTACAAAGTTCTAAAATGCCTGACCAGAGACTTTCGATTAATTTCCTTTTTTCCAGCGGATTCAAAATCACAAATAAAAGGCTACATAAAAATGAAATATGTATGTGCAGTAATTAGCCAAAGCTAAACTTTCAGACTCACCCTTCAAACAAAAAATACAACCAAAAGTCTCAATTTGAAAACTTCACTGTAAATTTATTGTGATAGTGGTGTAACGCAAAGGAAAGGTCAGAACATGTTTGAGGTTCCAGTAAAATAAATAAAAAATCCAACACCAGAAGATTAGATGACAAGTCTCACAACCTTACGAAACAAAACCATGACCAGCCACTGTGATGTTTTCTTATTCAAATATTTGCAAATGGCGTTCGATTAAAACATGAAAATGAAAAACGAATAGCCACTTTGTTTGTATTGTTTTCATGTATAGTATTGTTGGTCAAAATAATTGTGTAATTACAAATGGGTAACATGAAATTAAAATTATTCGATACATAAAGACATATTTAAATTTTGCAAATAGAGAGGCTTTCGATTTAGCACATCTGATGAAACGCCTAAAGCCAACACATCACATCAAAATACAGATAATCTCAAGAAGCGCACATCAGACTGGCGGCCAGTTGTAAAAAGTTAGAAATGACGCACCAATTGGAGGCATTGCGAGGCGGGATGACATACAGATTAGAGATAAGAATTGATGAAGATATAAAGGATATTTGATATTCCACGGGTGAACATTTTTTACCCCAAGATAAGATTGCATCTGAAAAGATAATTAAAATGTCTTTTCTTGTACTTTTTCACTTTTTCCAGTTTCGTACTTTCCTTCAATTGTATAGGTAATACAAAATTACTACAAGACATGTTTAGGTATAGTGGTATTAAATGGTAGTTATTTAACATTATTCGTTCTTTGCAACTATATTTGTTTGTCAATGAAAATGTGCACATTCTCATATGTACAAGTTTACAAAGATGATTATAGGAGGTTTAAGAAAAACACATCTTAGTGATTGTTTTGAATTCATCTAAGTAAAAACTGCAAATAACATGGTTTGATTTTCAAGACTGATTTGTTGAATTGGTTGAATAAAAGATAATGTTACTCTGCAATTGTATATCTTCTAATAATTACCCAGCATTAATGTATACATGAGTCATGGCACACATCAATCAGACATAAACAAAACGAGACTATAGTTCAGTTATGTTATATAATCTGCAAACGACACAGCAGTTATCATCTCTATTATTAATTCATGGAAGCAGCTGGTTATTTTGCTTTAGAGCTTGACACAGTTAAACTTATTCTAAATTTGATAAAATCATAAATTTGAAATAAACAAATACTGTAACACTCAATTGCTATCCATGCATATTATCATTTAACTATTTATGTTGCATGTTACACGTACCGATCTATCCATCAGTCCCTGAATTTGTGTGACTCTTTCGCCGCGTACGCCCTGCCTTGGTGCACCTGCGCCTGGTTTACTGAACGGGTCGTATGCAGGAAGGTACTCTCGGTTTGGTTTACGGGCGGGTCCCGATTTACCGAGGTTGTCGTATGGGTTCTCATCATATCTGATATTGGTGTCTGGGGCTACAATCGATAAGTTGATAATTTGACGATGATCACCAATGAATGTTACGATCAAATGACACCTAGATATTTCTGTCTGAGCTGTAAAAATGGTTCCTTGGCAAAATGACATCACATCGATAACTGAATAATTTGTCGGCAAACAGTAAGGTACATTCTCATAACAGTGGTATAGGTTAGAGAACCAGTCTATTATATTCAAAACTATGTTGGTGCAACATTGTTTTAGCGCTCATTATAAATATGTATGTATTACAAAACCAAATATTATCCAGTATATATCAAAAGCCAAAAGAAACTGTAAATATTTTGAGTACAAGCTTTTCAGACCATCACCAGTAGCAGCTTATTACAAAACTTTATGATATAGCATATGTATATATAAGGAGAAGAAAAGGCTACGAATATATATGTCTGCTTCAATGGTATTGAAACGTGTTGCTAACAATTGGTAACATAATATCATTATTAGCAACGGAATAAAATAACAACGCGCAGAATCTTATGATTTTATGGACCGATTTACATAGCGATTACACTGTCCTTTTTAAAGCCCATGCCCGTATAACTGGGTATTAATGGAAAAGCACTGCAATACGCTTTCAATATATAATCTGACAATACGTGCGAGCAATAATGACTTGCTAGTTACGTTCTGTTGAAATAATCAGAAATGCCCGGCTCCATCGGAGGGGACAAAGATGATTAATATTCTGATTTATAACAAATAACATTTTAAGTATTTCTATATAAATCATTTATCATCATATATCATTTATCGAATTCCAGCCGACATAATTAAGCCAGCATCAACATGCAACGATTCGCGGAGTGCTTTTGCGATTTTACTAAATGTGCATGTAAATCATTCATAGAGAAAATATGCATCCCACACATTTGGGAATGTTTAAGACATTGTTTTTATTATATCTGTAACTATCAATTAAATGTAAAACATCGCTATTGTCCGACGGATCAGAGCCGTGAAATGCAAAATTAATGAGGTGATGTATGCAAATTTCAAATAAAAATAGTATTCGGAATGTTGCAATTTGTTGAAGTAAATGTTTAAACAGTTACTTTATTACTTTCTAACTCTATTGATTTTTTAATTTATATAGCATGTGTAATGAACCAGCCAAAACGAACATGTGATGAATAACATCCGTAAGACGCGAATGGTAATGTCGATGATTTGTATAAGCTTTTTATGTGGTAGGATACAAGCAAATAGCTGATGAAACCGATGAATGCATAATGGCGGTATTTACAAATCCGATTCGGACTTGGTCCACGAAATAATGATTTATACCTCCAATAATAGTTTTCCATCATTTTATCATTTTAATGTTATATTCCATTGTAATAAACTATAGACAATGAATTATTCAATATGTGAAGAAGGGTAACTTGTGTAAATGCATAAGTAATATACATATATCTAAAATAGTTGAAGCCGGCAAAGAGGAGTAGTGATACAGATAGAGAAGAAATATCTGATACAAATAAACTACTTTATTTCAACATACATTAACGTTTAACCGCTGACTAGATAGTATGCGAATAGTAATTATATCAGAAAAATAGATAAAATGAAATATCACGTCGTAAATTTAAGTAATGTAATGAGTCAACACAACTCACTGCAAAACATAATAAAACAACATCTAATTATGTAATATTGATAGATACATGTCTATGTATGACTCACCATTACATAATCAAATGGACGGCACTTCCAAAGAGGAATCGACATTGATATAGGTTTTGAAGCAATATATACAAATGAGAAGAATCAGAGAAAGAAAAACACATTTACCAGATATGAAAGTTTTGAAAAGCAATAAGATATTTTCTAATTTTTTTTCAACATTCCATTCACATTAACATATCTCAGTCACCGACAAATAATAAACGAATAAATTGGTTTTTCACAGAAAAATTCAGATACAAATTGAAACATTAAGCAGATTTCTCAACTGAGTTTGTACTTCATTGAACAACATCTACAATCGGGGTTTCATCAGATCTGGTAAATATATGTTAGAGAGAGAAGCTACAATATTAACCTGATTTAGGACTGCTTATACCTGTCTTGTAAAAATTCCCGTAGGTCGGCCCGAATCCCTGCAAATATATAACAGTCAAATAAAGGCATACGTTATGTCTGCCTTGACACTTGACAATAAATACAACATTAAATTACTGACGCACAGGTTGGCTTCTATTTGTGCATTTAACAATTTCAGAAATGTTTATACAATGGAAATTATAAAAAAATGTTAATATCCATTTATGTCATTGTTTATTATGTAAAGGGTTTGACACAAACTTTTCCCATTTTTTAAATAGATAAATCCAGCTATCGAAGAAGTGTGTGCAAGATCATTGTCGTAAGCGATTTTTGTCCATATAAACAAACACTAATATATCAACTGTGGTGTTGTTACATCAATTAAAAGATATCACTACAACACATAATGGTCAGTAAGCCCCATATTAGTCAGATATTAAAGTTTAGCAATGAATAAGATATAAATCTGAAAATAATGCAACATAAAGATACACAAACCCGACGAAAGACCGTACACACAGATATAAACAATGTCCTACTACGGAACATCTAGAACATTGTTACGGACAATCAATTAATATATGTAAATCTGTGAAATGTTAATGACATAATTTATAGGCCATTCGTCCTATTTTCTATGTATATTGGTTCAAAATCAAAATAAAAATAAAAACAAGCAATTTATGACCATAACTTTACAGTATTCGCACTTGTTAATAGTTTGGAACCCATCAATTGCATGCATTAAAGCTGTTTGTGTACACAGGTTCGTACAGAAACTCCAATTTTTGTTCTCACATAAAAAACGTAGCCTTGCCAAACAGTTTGGGGTAGACTGAAAGTATGGATCAAGTAGCAAAAAGCCCCGGTTGGGTGGCCTAGACTATGGACCCCCCCCCCCCCCCCCCCCCCCCAAAGCTTGTAAAATGATAAGCATGACGAAACCGGACTAAGCAAGCTCCGGCCATTATCTTTGATATATATTACACATTCACAAAAGGTGCAAATGTGCCTGAACTCAAAGAGATTGTTTTAATCGTTCCCTAAGTCCAGTAAACTTGAAACTGGTCAGATATTATGAAAACTCTCCGACTTACATGAACAACAGTTATATTAATTACATTAAAGCGTAAAACAGATGCAAGCACTACACATTTTATTAAAACTAAACTAAAATTAAAACATCAAACAAATCAAAGGTTTACTGTAAATAACTTACATTCTCGATCGTTCAAAACACTAAATCGTGAGTTTTTATTTTACGCTTTTAAAAAATTTCTTGTGCCTCAATAATATTTGTGAGAAATTGGATTTGCGATCGATTCTCTTTCTCGCAAATTAGAATCAAAAACATTTATCTCGAGAAGTACAAGTGATTTACAGCAGTTAAAATGACAATCATGATGCAAAAGAAATGAAAAGTTACGTCGCTGTACAAATGTTAGACCGAACACAAATATACCTCCTGGGTTCTACCCAGTTTAAATGGGTATCGAGCGACGTTACCACCGGAATCTCTATGTGGATTCCCTACGCCCCTTCCCCAAGGGTCAAATTCTTGAAACATCTAAGAGAATGACAATAGTGACGTAGATAGGTTAGAAAGGGTGCAGTGATATACTGTGTGTAGAGGGATGTCAAAAAAGGATGAAGACTCGAGAGAAGTATAGATCTGAAGAAAGCAGGTTATAGTTATCAACCGAAAATCGTGGCTCTGGGCAATCCTGGTGATTATCAAATGAGTCGAATATATTCTGATATGCTGAACAATCTTTTCAACAGCTGCTATCATTTCAGTATTGTCTTCAAAATAAAATTAGCATTTCAAAAATGTTGGAGTGATTTATATATGTATTATATACTGTATTCCATTTAAAAATTTATATTTCTCGTTTCAATAATGTAGATTTTCAAAAATTGTTTATCCGATTTTGAAATAAACAAATGAAATATAACAACATTCAATATACGAGGAAAATTAATTCATATATTGTATTAATTACTAAGTATATTCAAGTGGTTTCTAGTATCAATTTTATATATTGATAAGTGCATGCACAATTTTTTATTCATGTATTTACACAAAACCGTTATGGAAAGTATTGATACTTCACTGTCACTCAATAGATAGTATCACCGGATTGCCCATGGCACATTTGGCATGTCAAGGATCAACTGATTTTAAATATGACTGCATAATCTCATGATGCAAGGTGACTACAGAAGATAATCAAAATAATGTGTTCATGCTCAATCTCTCAGCACATGCTTTCAGTATGCCATATTTATAAAGCAATGGATGGAAATGACAAATGGAAAAAGGGACGGAATCCACATTAATCGTTTTTTCTTCTTCAAACCAGCTGGTTGTTTTAACGTTTGGAGATTTTGATTAACGTTAAATATACTCTTTTCTTTAAGAACACGTTTTGGAATCAGTTCTTCATAGATTTACGATCATTTCGAACATTTTGTTGGATTTTTGACGAAAGAATAACCCATTAACAAGAAAATATAAGTGGTATATAGCTATTGATCGGAAAAGAAAACATGCCAATTTAAACCATAAAGTTCATAAATCGATTTTATTGATTATTTCAGCACCACTTCAAAATAACACTCGAAGAAAGTGTTGCATGCAGAACTGTTTCAACTTCAGATCACAGAAATTCAGGAAACAATACAGATGCAATCGTTGTTCTACCGCAAATCACTAATTCTAATATTATTTAAGAAAACCCGGTACTATTATGACTGATGAAATTCATCCATATCGGCTCGGCAATAATTAGTTCAAGATATTAGTAGGTGTCGTCAAAAGCAGAGGGTGGGCGTTATTGCAAAGGGAATCGCGGTGACAAATGGCCTATGACATACGGAAAGCATGTGCTGGACTTAACTCACCATGACACTTTTAGAAAGGGGACGGTACGACAGATGACCGGTTTCCTGATTTCATTTCAATTGAAATAACATAAATATAATGCCAAGGATAAACTTATTGCAGAAATACTAGAAATGTGAAACAGTGTTGAACATGTATATATATAATACAAAGCTACTGATTTAAATGTGCTCGGTACTTTTTAAAGTATCCGAACAATCAAATTATTCTACGACAGAAACTACTGCACTAAGTGAATGATAATATATATTTGTGAAACAGTACAATATTATTTATGACAGGTTCAGCATTACAATGTTTAATGAAATAGCCATATGAAGTGCAGTTATATTAACCATATGACTACTATGTAAACGTTTTAAGTTCATCTTTGTCTGATCACCCAAATAAAGTACTGCTATTGAAAAGGCTATCAACGTTTAAGCGTTGGTCGTCAAATATACAATCTGATATATGAAAGACATATTGAATACGTCTATGACTTCAAGTATGTAAATAAATTACAGATGTTATATATATGGTCAGGTCATAATAATAGAAAATAAACAACTTCTAAAATACTTCACTTACCGCTTTCTGTTTCAGGTATGCATCTAAAATATAAAAATCAAATTGTAAAAACCAGTGAAAAACACACGCTGTTAAAAGTATATATCATGAATAATGATACCTTGGCAGCAGACAATATTTTATACTAGATCAATACAACTATACAGGCTATATATTGTCTTCAATTTTTTAACCACAACAAAATTCACTTTTATGTACTAAAAATCCCCTTTGTCGAGTGAGAATCATTCGTATACTACTTCACTAAGACAGATTCAATATTTTAAGATCTCAATTTTTTGTTTTCCTACATGCTTTAAATAGCTGTTTCGCACACACAGTGTACATGTCTGTCAAGTTGTTAAGTCATGCTACGTGAACAGCAGCCATTAAACCTTATTCGTGAAAAATATGTTTTTCAGAGTAACTTACTTTAATCATCATCCATCATTTTTTGAAATATATTTTCAGACAACAGGATTGGATCAATAACCGTCAAATAGCAAAAGTCATTATAACCTTAAAAGCAGTCCTAATTGATAATATAAGATATTGTAACACCAAGTAAACTACGTTGCTACAATAATAAAAATAATAATAATAATTCGAGGTTCTTATATACTGCTTTATCACAACCTAGTTCGTAGGTCGTCTCAAAGCGGTTCACAAAATATTATCCGTGGTTATAGGGCCTTTGCAGCCAGCCAATGGCTTTCTCAACTCCCTTGGTAGCATACAGCCGGAGCTGCCAATTCGGCGCTAACATCTAGCATTCAACAATTCTAGCACTGCTCAACCACGTACTCATTTACAGCTTAGCAGACTGGAACAAACGGAGTAAATTATCTTGCTCAAAGATACAACACAGTACCGTGCCGTAACTCGAACTCGCAACCCTTCGGTCACAAGCCCGGCGTCCTACCACAAGACTACCGTGCCTCCTAATGTAGCATAGTTTTTCTAGACTAAATCATCCGGGAAAAATTCCCTTTCAGTTCAATTCCATTCAGGACTTAATTTGTAATTTACAATACATTCATTCCGAAATTATTATTTTTTTAAAACACTTAACCCATACTTTCCAGAAAAGCAAGGTTAACACTACCCGTTAGCTTATGATAATAATAGCGTCATCTGTGGCGATATTGATTCAGATTACCATGTTGCAAACCATTTACACTTTTCACAAATGTTGGTTTAGTATAAAAATGCCAAAATTACTCAGTTGATTTTGTAATGAAATCTTGAATTTTTTTTTTTTTTAACTATTTATTGATTTTTGTTATTTCATTTTATAATTTTTTCTTGAGTTTAGGGGTAAAAACTAGTTCGTCATTGATATTGATTAAACTCAGTCTATGGATAATACTAAACATGAATTATCATTAATGTTTTAAATAATACGGTAATGTAGATTTTATGATTTAATGTTTGGTAAGTGTTTGCAACATGATTAGCTGGAGATTGCTGATAACTAAAGTCTGGCCAATCGCAGCATTATCTAAATTACAAAGCTAAACGGCTAACAGAAGCAGTCTATTGCGGATGATACAATATATACAGGCACAAACTATAGGATTTCTATGTGTATACACTGATACCTCTGTGTGGAGGAGCTTTCGACAATTCTAACGTGTCCCAAGCGCGGACGAATCTCCTATTGGGTTGTATACGGTCTGTATTTGCATTGTAGAGAGTAAAAATGCCAAACATATTAATATAACAACAATCGAAACCTTCGGATAAATACTTTTTAGTTTTTAGTTATTAACAGGTAAAGCTCGAGTTATATTCCTCCATTTTAAATATTATACGTGTAAAAAATGTATCGTGGATCCTTTCACAAATGATTAAATAAGCCTTTCTATTGCATCCGAAAATGTATTTCATCACACATTGTAAGCATGGATATATCGCGTTATTCGTCAGTAACGTAACAATCACTGGAACAGTAGATTGGCAAGTCGACGTCTTACTTTCCACTGTTTTTTCATTGTTTGAGTTAAATGCCGTAAAGTTTTAAGTATTAAAAATATAGCATGTTTAATACGAAATTGCATACACAGCAAAAGATGGACATCGTCTATATACCACAAAATGCAGTGAATCAATGTTTCTATGATATTGCATAGTGTATGTAATACTATTAGAAAAACATTATAAGCTGTTAACATGAAGTAATGAGGTAAAGAAACATGTTCAATAAAAGAAATGCGAGTCTGATTGTTTAACACTTACCTGGATGTGTTAACGGGTCAGGACTACTCCTTTCTAAAGCCTCATTCTCTCTCCTCAACTACAACAGAACATGGATTACATATATGTAATACAAAATGTGCAAGTATAATATTATTGAAGAACAAATTTGTCTTTATACGCATTAATAGCACCAATTAATTATATGTCAACACTCAGACTTACATACACAAATATCGCGTTTTAAGTTACTGTTTATAACGCATTATTTTATTGAAGAAAAAACCCGAACAATTTGCTGCAGTTTATTCACGATATGCACGTATCAATCGCAAATTAGTTTTAATCTGCTTCATAAAAGTACTCTTATACGCTTGTCAATATCAAATTAAACGCTTGGAAAAGTGTTACCCGCCATAACTTTGGTTGCAACATCATGAAGGCAGCAGAAACCGTATATTTATATTTTAAAGAAGCTAGTAGAACTCAATTTGCAACAGGACAAACTGTCGCGTATCCCAAAACACATTAGGGTTATCGTCTAAATAGAACCAATGATCAAAGGTATTATGAGGTTTTTTTCTCACTTTAAGATCAATTCTAGAGTTTTATATATATTTTTTTTATATTAAAATAGGGTCTGTAGATTTAGTAAGACATTGATATAGATTATTAACTGTACAATCAGCTGTTAAATTGCAAGGATTATCATCATTTGTTCAAGATGGTTATTTGCATTTAAAATTATATTTCTGCAACCCCCCCCCCCCCCAAAGAAAACAAGCAAATGACCCGTTCGAGAGAGAAAGTCCTCTAAATGATTTGAACATCTCTATATTAGTAAATATATATCTGCCTACCAAACCTGACACACCTACCTGGCCTAGATTTTCCTTTACTTGATCATATCGCTGTCTATCTGTTACCATGCCGTTCCTCCCTGAAAAGCACGCAGGTCAACTTATTCCAAACGCAATACACAACACACTAGTATTATAACACTTTTTTGTGATACAGACATATATGTCTTAACCTATGGATTAGGTTATTTTGAGTGTCAAGCACTTGACTGGTTCTGCTAGTGAGCTCTACATACTCAAAAGTGTAACCCGACGATGTGCAAATATGAAAGTCGGGTGCGCAAGATCTATTAAAATATACTTTTGGCATGTCATTGACATATTTGCTGAGAAAAAATCACACTTTGAAAACGTTTAAATTATAAAGAAGGAAGTTCTCAGCATTGTTATCAGACAATACCCTCCATTGCGATTAATAACATTAGTTAAACCATAATATTAAACTAACTCACTGACATTTTCGTAAATAAGTACTATTCTTGAAACGGTTGTTCTGTAAATCATTAACGCAAAAAATGAATGATATATGAAAATGTAATACAAATATTCTCAGTATGTATCCGTTAATATTTATTCAAATACACTGTAATAGTGTTATGGATCAAAATCAATATACAGAAAGACATCATATTCACCTGGAGAATGGAATGGCGGCATACCATCCAAACCTTGGTCTTGTTCTCTGGCCATATCTGGGTTCTGAAAGAATATCAGCGGATCCTTGCATTGATACTGTGCTTTGACATGGCCTGACTCGGATATCATTGGGGCGCCACTTCCAGGACCAGATCGACCAAAGTAGTCCATATAGTTAAACCCAATGGGTTTAGAGGGAGAAGACAACTGGACAGCAGACAGAACATGTAGAGACAGACAGATGAAAGAAGAAATAGAGATGAAAGTCAGAAAGAAGAGTTAGATGGTGATGACATAGAAAAGAAAATACGAGGAAAAACAATGAAAAAATAAGAGACGAAACACAAATTGACATTATTTCAAAGAGATGGATGCATCAATATGAATGCACAGAAAAAAGAAGTAATGGCTAGGGATAATGGGAAGGGTGTGGCATTATCTAATATAAAATGTTATAAATAAACAAATAAATCAAATTCTAAATAGAGAAACAGTTTTGTTCCCGATCAAAAAATTAACACATTAAATCATCTGAAACCGTAAAAGTGCCATATAAAAGGTTTTCAAATAAACGTTATAGCTTAAGTGAGTGGGAAAGTGTAAATTAACAAAATCAGAAAACCAAATGGTTAATTGAAGGTGATTTACTACTAGTACTGCTACAAACAAAGCGTCGATCAATCAGGTACTTCACATGCAATCACTTTGGAACTAAAATAAGCTGAAGGGAAACGCATGCACGTTAAAGATATATGTTAAACTACAAATGGCACAAGCTATCTAACCAGGGTTAGTCTGATGAAGTGATCATATGCCAAAAGACCGACATCTGATTATGACGTCAAAACAACATTAGATTTTGACATCGTTATATGATCGCATTCTCAAACGGATCTAGGTCGGTTGCGGAATTCTTTATTGTGAGTCCATCCTGAACATACGGTAAACGTGCATACAAAGGTTACGTTTTCAACTTTTACTTACACCATGATATATTAATGAGAATTTCGGAACTTAATCATAACGGTTGTATCATTCCGATGTGTTCTAGATAACGCAGGGAGGGAAAGCACATGCATTTGTAATATTAATATCTGAAGACTAAACAGTCTTACTGACCTGAGCACCATTTGAAGTCTGCAATCAAAATATCAGAAGAACTACTGATTTTGTTCTCTTTTTGATGATATGAAATTGAGCTATGGATTATTCTGTGGATTTATTTCTTATGCTAGTACATCGTTTGGCAATTTTATGTTATGATATTTAACGTTATCATCATGAACTTGTTTTACAGTTTAGCCAATTAAATCAAGTACAATAAGATTCAGAACATTTGATAGAGTCAATTCACAAAGTAGCATGTTTCAATTTTACGAGATAGTTAACAAAATAGTTTAACAATGTATCTCTATTATTGGACGTTATTCCATAATATCATTCGATATGATATGATTAGATGTAAACAGAGAAATAATTTCAACTTCAGTTTCGACTGACTCTAACTCTATTTTCAGTGATAAATCGGTGAATGAAGATACATGATGTAATACGTAGGAAACATTGCTTGATCCGAAAATATTGAAGATTTTTTATTTATCACATCAAAGTACATCAAATTAATCATTATCGTATTATCATTTCATGTATTACATATAAATATAATTTATAAATTTTATATATAATTTGATAGCACATTACACATATTTACCAAATATGAATGTACAGTTATAAATGATACAGTTGATGTCATTAATTAGTACACGCAATATATAACAATTCATGGCCTTTGTTATGCATTGACATATTTTATTTTCTCAATACAAGCAACGCTTGCAGTGTTAGTGATCCCACGCAATGTAAGATTTGGATAGGAAACCCTACACCAGTGACGTAGAAAGCCACAATGTCCATTTAATGTGACACAGTTCTATAGTGTATGGTGTTAGTGAGTACATATATAAATGATTATATCCTTATCATTTACAATAAATAAGCTATCCAACGCCTCAATTGAAAATATTTACATTTCTTATCACCTGAACTCAGACCAGCATTGCTTGCGTTAATAAGTGAAATGCAATCAACATTGATAGATTTGACTATGCAGTTTTATCTCACTACATTAACTTTTTACGAAACATACAATATGGAAACAAATACGTTTAACTCCTAGCAATTATTAACAATATTAGTAAAACTTCGTTTGCTATGTCAAATCAATTTAATCTAACAGCTAACATGGGGTTCATAAATAGAACAGCTAGTGTGGGGTTCATAAATAGAACAGCTAACGTGGGATTCATAAATAGAACAGCTAAAGTGGGGTTCATAAATAGAACAGCTAGCGTGGGGTTCATAAATAGAACAGCTAACAAGGGGTTCATATATCTACCAGCTAACATGGGGTTCACAAATCTACCAGCTAACATGGGGTTCTTAAATATAACAGCTAACGTGGGATTCATAAATAGAACAGCTAACGTGGGATTCATAAATAGAACAGCTAACGTGGGGTTCATAAATAGAACAGCTAACGCTAACAAGGGGTTCATATATCTACCAGCTAACATGGGGTTCATATATAGAACAGCTAACTTGGGATTCATAAATAGAACAGCTAAAGTGGGGTTCATAAATAGAACAGCTAACAGGCTGATGAAGTATGTATATAAGTTAATATTATAAACACATTGAACACAGTGCTCCTTGTGAAATAACATTAAAATAAACGATTTGCATAATAAAAGATTCAAATGAATAAGCTATGTATAAATTGTGTGACACTGCAAAATACACATCGTATTGCAAAGTGTGATCCCAGTGCATACAGTTTAAATCTTTTGACACTTTTTTTTATCTTCGGAATTACGACTTATGTTAGGTTTATACTGCCAGGCAACCCGATAATTGTGTCTATGTGTAAAAAACTAAAAGTGATCTCCATAGCTATAGAACTGCTCTTGTTTCGTAGACAAACGTTTTGGTGCATACTCAAGTAAGTATCCCTCATTTTACCACTCACACGGCATCGTTTTATCAAAAATTCTCTAAACTTGTTCTAATACGATTTTTGTTTGCTTATTGTAACTACTCAATAGAAGTATTCGTGTTTTCCATGGACGATTCGGCCACAGTAATAAAAATAGATATAACTTGTGAAACCAGTTCGGAAATTCATGAAGTAATTGCCAAAAAGCGGGGATTCATAAGACAATTAGATTGTACATCATGAATATTTTCCGTGATTCCACATTTCACCCATTTAGACAGTAAGCTATTGAACATCTAATTATAAGTTTGTCCAGTAAATGAGCATGCTGCTTTATAACTGGCTGATTAACCTCGAACTCTTATTAGAATTAAAAGACGTTGATACCTAACCAATAATATGCACCCGAGCACGCAAATTCTGCCTCATCCATAAACCTATTATTTATAAATACATGTAGTGTGACCCTTACATGACGATTCGATTTCTTCTCTTGTTGCTGTTGTTCTGAAAAGAAAAAAGAAAGCTTTTTAAACATCTGCATATCATATAGGTACAGTTTTATTGTGTCTTCAAATGATATAAGTATGTGATAGGGTGTCTTAAGTCTCAACATCATATAGGCACATTTTAAAGTGTGAAAAAGTCTCCACATTATATATATATATATGTTTACAGCGTCGAAAGTTTTAACACCAAATATAATTCTTCAAATGGATTTTGTATGTTCAAACAAACAAACAAATATGACCTTTGCCTTAGTAATTGAAACTATTGTGTACTTTTGTGGTATCGCGCTGTATTATTTTCTTAAATTGGTGGGTTGGAAGTTGCTAATGTAGTGTTATTTGCGCGCTGTGTTCGTTATCGTGTTGAATGTAGGTAATCACTGCAAACATAATGAATATAACAAAACAAAAATGTAAATCGTTTTCTTGGGTACATATTTAGTAGCAGAATATCGACATCGAAGTGTATGTTGATAAATTTGACAAATTTACAAGCAACTAAAATTTCACTTCATTAAGATAATATATATGTAAACTTAACTACCCATCCAACCAGGTAAAACTCCTTCAGTTACTTTATTTATCCCTAATATCATGTTCTATCTTTCTTTCTAAACAGTTTCTTATGTACATATTCTGCCAAGTTAAACATGTTTTATCAGCAAAGCTTGTTGCGTACAACAGTACTTGTTCCCCAATCATCAGAATCAAATGTCTTTTGTAATTGTACATGTTAATTGACACGAATAAAATATGGTTTAAACTAAAATTTGCCGATCAATTCGTCTTATATTATTTTTTTATGGATTTACCATACTTCAAAATAATGTTTTATCAGCAAAGCTTGTTAAGTACAACAGTACTTGTTTCCCAATCATCAGAATCAAATGTTTTTTGTAATTGTACATGTTAATTGACACGAATAAAATATGGTTTAAACTAAAATTTGCCGATCAATTCGTCATATTTTTTTTATTTTATGGATTTACCATACTTCAAAATAATGTTTAATCAGCAAAGCTTGTTACGTACAACAGTTCTTGTTTCCCAATAATCAGAATAAAATGTCTTTTGTAATTGTACATGTTAATTGACACGAATAAAATATGGTTTAAACTAAAATGTGCCGATCAATTCGTCTTATATAGATTTTTTATGGATTCACCATACTTCAAAATAAACCTGAATAGAGTATTATATGTTCCAAATTCATCGGTACCGTTACACTTGCAACTTACTGAGATCATCTAAGTATCTCTTCTTCTCTTCAGGGGGTCTGTCGTGCCGACGGTGGTTCTCGATATCACGTACATACCGATCCTGAAATCGAATTATCACATCCCCAACAAGATGAGCCTTTAGATTGCCAGAATCTGTTTTAAGTGGGGCACCATGGCCAGGCCGGCCAAAACTGTCCCAAAACTGAAAACTACTTGTACTTAACCCAGAGGGCTGCAGCGGTAGATCAAAGGTCAATGATGAAAGGTCAAGGACAGAAGGAGGAGCAGGAATCATGGAAATGGTGAAAGATGTCAAAGTACGAGAAAATGGCAGTTCAGCAGAAGAAAGAAAAAGAGAGAAAAAGAAAGAAAGAGAAACAGGCTAAAATAAACATCATGATTGAGATATGGAAATGAAAGACAAAGCGACAAAAGTACAAAAATATTGAAATTAGTCTAAAGTAATGTATAGCTTATTTCTGACGAAGGCCTTTTTCTTTTTTTTCTTTTTTTATAAACAAATTAAATTTTAAAGTGAAGATTACAAATAAATATCATACTGATTCAATATTTTTTGGCATTGATTTAATATTTTTTTCATATAAAAGTACAAAATTTCATGAATTATTGCTTTTTTAATAGTGCTCTAATAAATATTTGAATACTGAGTTCTTTTAGACTAAATTGTATGCATTGTTTAAACAATGTTGTTTTTCTTTTTGTATGAAAATGTGTTTGAACAACTATGCCAACAACAACAATCGAACTTTCAGTTGCCTCCCCTCTGTTGGTGTATATAAGGTCTTAGAGAAACTTTACCGCGTCTTCCTCGTGCAAGGTGCCCCAGTTTGTAATTGAGCAAGATTGAAGACATGAGCAAACAGCCACTAATCAACGATGCATTCATCCATGAATGTTTTAACAGTTTAAGTATTGTAATAATGTATATATATACATATGTTGTGGCACGCTTGATTTTGGTGAAGTTGAAAATCGTCATGCAAACAGCAGACATTTGCATATTTATGTCAAACCATTTAAAATGTCTTATACAATGATCTTTATTTGTATTTTTTTCTAAAACCAGTCGTGAGGGACATTTGTCCTTAAAACATGTTTTTCACCTCGATATATATACTGGTAATGTCTATGTAACTATAAGTTAAAAATATAATACTATATCTGTGGTACGGTTCATAGTTGAAAACAGGCTGCTTGTGATTTCTCAAATCTTTTCAGTACAATGATGCACATAACCAATACCAATTTCTAGCTATTTTAGAACAACACACCATGAAAGCATTGTTTCTTATTATGTATATCCTTATTGGCCAAAGATACTGAACTGATTTCGTCCATTATCATGATATTTTTACGTCAAAATCAAAAACATATTTTGCATGCAGAATTTGTTCATAGGTTAATCAAAGTTAAACGAAAACAATGATCTATATGTCAGCTTATTTAACAAAAACAGATCTCACAAACCAAAAACTGAAACAGTTCGCCCTTACTACGAGCGTTACTATGTTATATTAACTTCAGACTTACCGGCTCATACTGATATCGTGCAGGTTCTCCACGGGCATTAAACTGTTCCTCAATAAACTTTTTTTTCTTGTTGTCACTCTAAAAAACAAAACGGACAACTGTGACATTCCTGTAGGTGGCATGATTTCCTTTTGTGATTTGCTTACATTAGTAAACAGCAGCAATAGTCACTATCATATTCATCACAAGTATTGCTTGACGTTTTCATAACAAAGCTTAACTTATGTTGTGTACAAGAGAAAAATATATTCAATGGAAACACAATCAAATGAATTTGTTTGTATAATATTGATATTCTAAAAAAATGTATAATCACTTTTTTTCGTTCTAACATATGGTGAAAAGTACTGTAAGTCACTTCATTTTTGAAAACATATGTTTTCTTGAATTTCTTTCAAAAGTCTTATTAATCAGGATTCAATAACATCATTCTGTACATAATTCTTGTGTAACAAATTTTGATATCTTACCCCGTTCGGGGCCCCTGCTCCAGGTCTCCCGAAAGGTTCATGATCTTCCAACATCTCTCGTGTCTAAAATTTAGGAACATTAAGAAACATTTGGTTTTCAACGTGGTCATCAAACCAAAGTCGGTTAACAATTAAAAGGAAATCAAAGGGTGACGGCAACCATATTCAAAGATGAAATCAATCCAGAAAAAGAGCTTCACGTAATTAATTTCATGGTAGAAATATAAGTCTCATACATTTTATTTATCTACGAAATTACAATAGCACTACGCGGTTATAGGATAGTGTATGTGTAGTATTATAGTAAGCTGTCATAGTTATTGTGAATACGATCGCCTGATAGGTTTATATACATACCCTACGCTGGTCTTCCTGTTTCTCCCTCAGCCTGTTTTGGCTGTCCGCCTTGAACTTCCTCTCCTCTTCCTTTCTATCAATGTACTGCTGTGTTTCTTTCCTGATCTGTTCTTGTCTGTTAAGCATTACAATTAGACATGTTGACATTACATTCTCAATCTAATCTTTTTATTTGGGTTCCTGATATTTTTTCAACAAAATCATATTTTTGAGCATGTTGGTTGAATCAAACAATTCATCTATGGTAATAATTTGAACACAAATAGACATTTTGATGAAAAAATCAAAATGTTATTTCAACTTTCCTTCAAAACTTTTATTCGAAGTAAAAATAGACAAATCAAATCCAAAATAAACCCAGTGGAGACAACAATCCAGTCCCCAGTTTCATGAACTTTCCTTAGCGTGTAGATGTATCAACTGACGATATTTCTCAATTCCGATGATGATTTCCTATGGGAAAAATCAAGGAAGTTCGTTCCAAATTAAGGAATGGTCCTGAAACAGGAGCTTGTAATGTTAATCAATATAAAAACAAGACTGTTGAAAGATTTGCTGAAACATTCGGAAAAGAGGAGAGAAAAAGAACAATCCAAAATAACTGTTTGAATCACAGCTATTCTCTCGAACCATCAGAGGTAAAAACTTACGTTTTTTCGTGTGCGTTTCTTATAGGTATATTTTGATTGGATTCATAGTCTTCGCTATAATGTCTTCCTGTTAATAAAACAAAATTACATAAATGCATTACTTTGTAATATATTTACATCATCAAACAATATAGTTATACTTATGTGTACATCATGCTTAAAGTAAAAAGTGATTTTGTAAATACATGCAAGAGGATATATCCATACTCAACACAAATCTTTTGAAATTCTTCTTAACATTTCATAAATGTTCGTAGTTAAAATCGTTTATTACAATTCAACATTTCAAATAGAAATATACTTATATTGTTAAGCTACAAATTATTATCAACATTGTTGTAAATATTATTTTAAGTACGAGAGATCACTTTAATATGAAAGTCATAAAATCAGTTAAAGCACTTGCAATGCGATAAAGCTGACAAAAAGCATTTCTATTGATGATAAGCTGAAGGATAAGGAGTATAAAAATTGTAAAGAAAACCTGTAAAGTGACAATTGTTTTATATTCAATGGGAAGGTCTTGATGAGTTTTTCAATTCGAAATGTATATGATGTGAGGTTATGTTCATTGTGATTAGGCGGTAAGTATTTATATTAGTGCCAATAATAAAATGAAATTACACCTGCCTAAAATGTAGCTATTTCATTAAGAACTTTATAATTGGAAATGCATTTTATTTTAGTAAAGTTTATTTAAGATAACATTTCATAATATTGTTGAATAAGTATTAAAATGAATTATCATTATCTGTAATATAGGGATATATCCCTGTGACAGATATTTGTTAGTCACTTGACATTTACAGAATATTATAAAGCTTCTTCTTTCCGTTGGTGAAATATTTCACGCAAACATCCCGACTAGCTTCTCTTTTGGATATACCGTTGACTTGAGACGAATTTTCACCGGGTCTATATTTCACATATATATTGATCGTGAAAATAAAAACAATTAGCATTCGGATCATTTTAAATCCTTGGTAAGTCAGTCAACTTGAATAACCAAACACATGAAAATGATCGCAAAATAGCATAAGTTGAAACTACAGTCAAAAGTTTGTTATATACTATACACTTGAAGAAGAAAAGAAAAAGAAAAAAATGAATATTTGAAAATCAATTCTTTAGACGTTACCCGTAGGAAGAATCAAACTTTAGGCAAAATCCAACAATAATCATGTGTAAGCATTGCACAGATAAATGTTCTACTTAATAACGGATTGATTTTGCAAAGTTATGTCAACGTTGAGCTACAAAGGTATCAAGTCGTTAAATTTACACTTAAAAAAACCCAATAAAAATAGTACAGCTTAAATTATTTTAAATAGAAAGGAAAGGATTGTGTTTTCTGACAAGACACAACTGGCTGTCATGCGTCACGCAGCTACAGCTCAGGAACGGCGTTTGCTGACAAGACGAAACTAGCTTACAAAACACACAGATTGAGTTCAGTGATGGTGTTTACTGACAATGCATAGCTGACTGTAATACGACACACAGATTGAGCTTCGGGATGGTGCTTTCATACAAGGAGAATGGGGCTCTTTACATAAGACAGAGAGTGAGCACAGGGGGACGGTGCTCATTGACACTGACAAACAAAGGGACGGTGTTCATTAACACTGACAGACAAATGGACGATGTTAATTACTCTTAATAAGACTACCACCACAGTTAGCCACTAAAATGCTACAGGGAGAGTTAAGATTGCGTTTACCCTGGTGCTGGTTTACTGAACGGTAACTGAGGGGATGGTCCTGGCTATTGTATCGTGGTGATGGTCTCTCCTTGGCCCAGCCTGATATCAAAGTTCAAAATAATATCTTCAAAACGGACACACTAGCTAACTTAGGCAATAATCAACAGATATGAGAGAATGAGAGTATGATGCATTGATGGATATTTGAATTCATCCCAAAAAAAAATAAAGATATAACTATGTTTAAGTCTACTAGCACAGAAGTCAGTGGTATAATCAACAAAAATAATCCTTATCTAATCTGTTAATGACGGACTGCCTCTGCGAATATATCTTTTTAATAATACCATCTTAATTTGACTGTCGTAATTTTGCGTGTAATACACACAATGCCTTGCTCATTTGCAATGAATGTTCTCGGTAGTCTCAATCAATAATTTTCAACATAAAATTAGAAATAGTCTGAGAAGTACAGTACAGAGTTGTGTATCCCTATTTATTATCTGAACTGTCAGGATACTGGCATCAAAGGTCTGTTATACTGTAAAAGCGTGACAAACGAACAAATGTGTGAAAGGCATCAATATCAATATTAATGGTCGATTAACAGTTTTACCAAAATCAATAACTCTGACTGATATATAAGCTAAAAAATTGTTATAAATATCATATCGATTTCTATCATCCATATTTATGACAACAATAAACAATTAGACCCAATTAAGGACATATTTATCACAAAAATGTAAACGCGCTCAAAACGTTTAGCCATATTTATGTTAGCTTCATTGGTTTATGAAAAATTTCAATAATATATTCTGACCATCCCTCAGAAGCATAAGGCTTGAAAAATGAAACCCAGAGTTAGCCAGCTATAATAGACATATTATCCTCTTTTATATATGTGGCAAGATTGAGTAATGTATATAATGTATAGAGGAACAATCTGTGGACCAGACCGACAGTGTTTACAACACTTCAATCTCTAGACCATCAACTCTATACGACATCTCCTCTAAACATATGACCAATCTTGGGGTAACTGACAATGTATTGTCTTTTTTTACGACAACATACCAAAAAGCTATTCCTTGCACTAGAAATGATTTGCACATACTTCATACAATGTGGTCACTTCTCTTAAACAATAATCTTATTTTAAATATATATGATGACATTTGTACCAGTAATCAGTGATCAACAATGCTTAATTATAATATATTTTTATATATTTATTGGTACTAAATATATCAATTTGATAGACATAGCTATACAAATTAAACCATACATATCCAAGCATGCTGTAATAGAGGAAGTAAAGTGATTGGAGGTTGTTTCAGTTAGGCTTTCGATAACCCAACACGCAATTTGTCCTTTAAAGGTGAAACGGTGATCTACACCATGCATACCTGTCATCGGTAATAACAGTTAGTGAACAGTTGCACCATCAGTAAAAGTTGTAAATCTACAGGCTGAAAGAAGATAGTTAAGATGCATGCACCATGCTTAGCTCATTGGTGAAAACCATTTCTACTTCTGTGTCAAATCATAGATCTGATAAGAAAACACTTTTTTTTAAGTTTATGATTTTGATTTTGTTACAATACATGTTCAAAATAAATGTAATTATTTACTGATTTATTGAGACAGAAAAAGCTTTCAACAGTCCAGCCTCGGTAGGTTTATAAAAGGTAAACAAGCATGCGTTATTGATGCTTAAACAATTTAAACAATTGAGCAGTTGATTCAACAATAAAACTTTGATCTGTTGGGTTCCTAAGGTAAACCCATTGTGGCAGGAACTTAGGCTGGTATAATTTTACGTTAACATGACCTTTGTATAAATAACATAGAATATTCTTTATTCTGTATTGATCCAAAACTTAGTTTAACAATTCACAGACAAGTTTACATCCTGTGATGTGCAAATCGATATTCAGAGAGTCTGTTTATTGTAGAATCAACCGCAATGCAGATGGGTGTTTTTTTCCGGGAACTCCAGGATCCGTTTTCATGAAGCTATTCTCATGGTCAAAACGAATTTCTTGTTCCCGCTTAAAATTAACAAAAACAACTTACTTTGTCAATGATTTGGAAAACCATTGAAGAAACTTAAAGCCGAAATGTTTACATTTGACTTTTTGATCGTTTGACATGATTTAAGCGAGTTACAAGAAAGTTGGTTTAAGCACATACTTGAGCGTGAGCACGGTTTCATGAATAAGGGCCCAGCTCTGCAAAGCATATCCCAACAGTGGTGAATCCACATGAAACTATGACAGAGCAGAATATATATTGGTTTTGATTGAATTACAGATGTTGGCAGGGCTTAATTTAGTGTTACGTAGTGTAACCGTTACAGATTGGCACTTATGTGTATACAGTTTTGGTCAAATGGTTGATGGGGTTTTAGTGTTACAGGATTAATCATGGCAACGTTTGAATGAATCCACCATTCGATTTTCATGTAGGCTCGGGGATGATGAAAAGACAGGCATTTAGTAATGAGAAAGCTGTTATAGTGAGGAGAAATTTAGTGATTAAAAGTGGGAATGCTGACATGCTTATCAAGGAAGTAGGCTTGGGTTAATGGCATCATAGACAACATTCACTTAGGGCTAACAATGACACACCTCTATCAAGCCAGTACAGAAACAGTACATCAGTGAAAACTGTGTTCTGGTGACCTTCATAGGCCAAGTTCAATGTTATAAATAGTACCCAAGATCAATGCCAACTTAGTCAAGCATTAAGCGTAATGAACTCAAGAACCAAGATTAGAACTCAACAAAGGACTGCATACCTGGGATTATCACTGGTTTAGTGTTCATTGGCACACCATTATATAAATGGTTGTACTTCAAGACATGTGCTACTTTCTTATTTACTTACATACTTACTTATGCTACTATATATACCCTTAGGATAGACCCTCAGTGTTTGTTTATATGTGTCCTTTTTTCCCAAAGGTTGACCCTTGGGTGAGTGGAAATGGACGTATATTTTGTTAAACATACAAAATGCAGGTGATGGATAGGTTACAAGCCAAAGACATAACCGATTTTAAGGCGAGTTTAATAAGTGAGAGAGTGTACGGAAGTGATACACTGGATGTGAGACAGAGGCGACTACCTTGTAGGGCTATACATATATCATATAGAGTGACATACCATTACCATGGCCATTCATCATGTGGCTGTGACCGTTCATGGTCGGGGCATGGCCATAGCCATTTGGTTTATCAATGGCTGGACCTTCGTTACCGTAACCGTTCATTTCCATGGGTAGTGGTGGGTGGTGGGGAGGGGAAAGAGGTGCTGAATGCTGTGGGTTGGACCTTTGTGGACCTGTAATGATGTGACAATGGCAATGACATGAAACATGGATGCGCACAATATCCTTTGTAAGTTGGCGTCCATCAGTCTGGGTATCCTGACTAGGAATGATCAAACATAAAATTCAAATATTGAAACATTTATGCATTGATGGTTTACTCAATCAGCTACAGTCGGAAGAAATATATGCACCTGTAATTGATCAATACATAAACACACAAAAACTTTTCATCTGAAATGAGAAATTTTGTAGTATTCCTGGTAAATAATTTGCAAATTCTAAATTGTTATATTGGGGTAAAATGTCTGACGATAAAGAAAAGACTACCTGGATTATAGTTAGTAATCCACCAACCTTAATTTTTCAATCAAATTAAAGGTTAAAAGGTTAATATAACTGATTACGGAATTTTCTGTCTGGATTTCTAATGTAAGACAGTTTCTCTTTATGCATAGTGGGTACAGCTACAGGTCTTGTTTGTACATTAGTTTAAAATTATCCAAGGTTTTGTTTTAGGCAGGTATAATACTGTATCAATTCTGTTAAAGTAAAAATACTTTGTAGTATGTCACTTTGTTATACAACGCTCACTATCAGTATTGTCTAGTAATTACAGAACCATGATACAGGAACACTTGTTCTAATCTACAGTTACACTAAACAACAGTCACGATCAATCACCCACTGCACAGAAAACGCAATTCTGTTATGCATTTTAAAAGTTAAGTTTGTTTCAAAATAATAATGATCCGTTTTAGTATCACCGCAATGGAAACAATTTATTATTTCAAACTGATTTTCATGCGATTTTGACATACCCGTTGAGGGATCAAAGTTTTGATCTAAATGTTGGTGTCTGTTTTGTGATGACCTTGATGTAAGGTCACGTCGCTGTGACGACTGGTGTGACTGTCGCCCTGGAAACATGTGGAGGCAATTCACTTTACCATAGATGTTTTTTTGATGGAAAACGTTACTTCTATCAAAATTGATATTTATCTTTCCTCTTGATTTAAATGTTAGAATAGAAAAATAAACTTATTGTAAAACTGATAAAGAATTATTTCATTTGTAGTATTGATGATAAAGGCTAAATTTAAAACGGTAAAATATCTTTTTGATTCACATGCTGGTTAAATATTTACGTTTTTTTTAATGTCAAATGGTATGTTGATTATAGAGGTAAAAACAAAATTGAAATTGATTATTGTATATATTCATCGAAATTAATTGAATTAAAGAATTTTTTTCGTCCTTGTATCTATGTCATGAGTGGCATACCATCCATGGCAGGATTTGAGCCTTGTGCAGAGCCCTTGGAGACAGGGTGAGATGGCAGTCCCGCAGCTCTGACTAGGGATGGTGGCCCCACAGATTTGACAGGGGATTGTGGTCCCACAGATTTGGTGGGGGATGGTAATCCAGCCGATTTGACAGGGGAAGCTACTGACTTTGGTAAAGAGGTTACTGACTTTTGCGGAGAGCCTACCGAATTTTTGGGTGATGGTATCTCTGTAAAAGGGATAATGTATACACATATTGAACAGAACTTTTCTAAACATTCTTATGTATACACCTAATGAACATTACTTTTCTAAACATTCTTATTTCTTAACATCCTTTTGCTTTGTCTTGCAACATGTTTAGCTACCAGTTTGTCTCTGAACGGAATTTTACTCGTAATTATTACTTACTATATTTGAACAAATACATTTTAACATTGTGTTAGATGTGTTAAGAAGATTTAAAGGGAGATAATTGTTTTCAGATGAAAGTTTAAAATCATGTCCGAGAGACAAGACTATATCCTAATTGCAGTTTAATATAATAATCTGATAAGATTTTTGTTTTTTAAATAAGACAAACATTTTTCTCTCAGTGATTTGTCTTTCTTCTCTTATTATGATACTGTTGAAATGTTATTCCAACATTTAAATTGCTATGAATAAATAGAAGTACATAACATTCCAAAGGTTTGCGTTATGGTGTATATGAGATAGTTTTATCAACAAAATTATCAAACATTCCTGTCTATACAGACTTCAATGAAGCCTATCTAGGCCATTCCTGTGCTGGGTTTATACTAAGTATATATCTAACCAATGTCAAAGTCTAAAACTTAATTTGTCATTCTTCTCTAATCAGAACAGTTTTACCGGTGTAGCTGTTAGTTTTTCCACACCTGAACGTTTCCCCAGTGTGTTTTAAGGCCCTGAGCAACAGGTCTTAGGAACAAACATACTCTAGTGTTTACATACTGTATTTTAAATGTACTATGGCTACCTTACAATGTATAGACTGGTATATTGACAGAATGGATACAGGTATTACTGCCTCTTTGAGGTCAATTTACAAACCATTTAAACGTAACAGATATACAAGAAATGTTAAAAGCATATAGACAGATCTCTGGTAAAGAGTACTTGTTGGACTATGGTGAAAAATAAGTGTTCCTTTCTGTCAATAATGAAACTGAACTTAAACAGAATTGTGTCAAAAACCTTTCATCCAGAAATATTCACAGTTTCAAGTTTCGCTGATTATTCAATTTACCCGAGTTCCATTGCAGTTATCACTCGATAACCTAACTAAATAGAAAGTAAATCCTTAAATAAACTAATAATAATTTAAAGAAATTAATATCTTTCCAGAATGAAAGAATTTCTGAAATTAAAGCAAACTTTCATGCATTTTACTTCTAATGGTGCAATTTAATGAAATCATCAACATAACTAGCAACAGTGCCATGAAGAAAACAATTGTCAATTAATTTTCAAACTGATTGGTTCAGATTTTTCTGAACAATAAAGTTTCACTGTTTGAATACTGTATGCAGAAACAAACAAACCACCAAACTGTTCAACTAGACAGTTTTGTACATAAAAGAATTCAGAAAATGCCACTTTATACTGCCATAAAACATCAATTATAACAGAAGTCAAAGGTAGAAGGTGTAAAACTATGAAACAAAATTCATATGGATAACAATATCTATTTGTATATAGATAAAAGTAATTATGATGGGTAGTATCAAACCTATGGGTATTTATAAACCAGTATTTTATGGGTTTTTATTAAGGGAAGATAACTATTTTTCCTCTGTGATGTCTCCAATAAACCATGACATATTTAGCACTCCAACAAACCCTGATAATGAACTAAATGTTCGGCTTGATCACAGGTCTTTGCAAGGAGCAACTTTTCAAATATTAATGGAAAAGTTATTAAGTGGCGGGGATAAATCTATTTTTGTTCACACAGGAGATCAATGGTGTGTACATGTCGCCAAGCGCCTAACTACAGATGTCTGTTTGTCTGAACATCACATATTGATCAATTCTGTCTGAATAATGTTTATTTAAATAACCCATGTAGTAGATAAATTGAATCAAAAAGCAGATATAATAAATAAACTTAAAGAAAATGCATAATTTCTGTGCCACTGTATATAATCTGAATGTGACAGTTTATTATAAAACATGACATCTTTCAATTTAAGATCATCAAGTCCCACAAATCAGCTGTACATGCAGGCCTAGAAAGTGTGTCTTCCTGTTACATTTATGCTATCTGCCCTATATTCATATGAAGACAATGATATGTAGAAAGCTTTTTAGAGGTCAGAATAGTTATTGAATTATTTCAGGAATATAATGTTGCAGAAAAGTGTTAAAAACCAAATATAATGGCCAATGTCTACTTCAAAGATTCCATCTAAATACAAGTACTGTATGTGATACATACATATATCTATTATTTGATAATATAAATATGCAATTGATATCAAATTCAATCTATTATCAAAAACACACAGAAATTTAAGGCAAATTCAATAAATTCAGAGATGAACATTTTTTCAACAATACAATGCGGCATTATACACATATCAAAAGTATCAAAAAACACAAAAACAAATAATTGCTTAAAATCAAGTTGTAAATAGAATGAAAGGTATGGGTTATTACTTACTTAGATCAAGTTTTGGGTCATCAGCACTTGTTAGAATTCCTTGGTTGGGGATTGTCCGTGGAATGGTTGGTTTGACGAAATTGTTATTTACGAATCCCTTGATACGAAAATTTCCGACAGTACTGGTTGGATTATTCAGGTTCTGGTCCAAGCTTCTAGGTGTTGCTAAAAATAAAAATAAGTAAAAAATCAGTTTTGATATTTTAGTCATAATTGACAGTTGTTTGATAATTTATATATCTTGATTAGGCAAGTTTATGCTTATGAGAATTTACTGCAATGTAAAGAGGTGATATTTGACAACAGTAATGTGATTTGTAGCTTACAGTACAGTGATATATCTACAAGGATTTATGTGTGGGGGGAGGGAAAATAGAACTGGGAGTATCAGGGTCAAGGGGCAGTTGAGAAAATGAGCCAAAGACTTTCAGATGTATTTGTTGATGTCAAGTTTAATAGTTACATTCTAGTTTTTGCTAAAATAATTTAATTAGATGATATGAAATTTAACCATCTAATCTGTATAGACATCTTAATTAAAAGAATCTTATCAGATGATAGGGGTAGGTGTGTTCAAAATGATAAACTGGTTACAAAAAAGCACCTGTATTGATCCCTTTATTCAGTGTTGTTTTTCATTAAGCAAGTTATCTTTATTTATACTTATAATATTTAATGCTAATTAATACTGATGTAAATGGCATTTTATTTTATTGTGAGTGTTTTGCATATGCTGGACATAAATATATAAGAGGTAGGGGATTAGCCAGTACATGACTATCTTGGGAAAGGAAAATAATTTAGTGCAAGAATTATTTCGAAGTTTAGACGAAGTGATTATGTTTTAACACAGAAGTAAACTTTTGGTGTTTATTTTGAGGATCCATGCTACATCAACTCTAAATATGGAACTTTCCTTAAAAAAACTATTAAGAAAACCAAGACAATGGTTCCGTTTTTATATTTCTTGTCCAGACTAATGCTGTCCTTTTGGACACTTAGTGTAGGTGAACAGTGTATTTATGCACATCCAGAGTATGCAATAAAAGTGTTGATATTACATTGATATAAATGTCAGCAAATTTACAGTAATTACTTTGTAAATTGATGCCAGGTCTAAAATATATAGCCCGACAACTTAGTCTATAAGGGTGGACATGAGTGATCATAAATTTATATCGTTAGATAATAAATACAGATTTATAGTTTGAAATTATTTCAAAGTCAAGAAGTCTAAATATAAAAAGTTCACATATCACTATGACTTAAGATTTCAGTTCAGTGATATAAGAACATTAATCATAACAGCCATTACAGATCATAAACATGTCTGGAAATTTGATTAAATCTTATATTTATAGCTCCTTTTACATCAAGATAATTTATGGAAGTGAGATTGTTGCTCTTTAAGTAATTTAAGACCTAAATCAAGTATAATTTCAAGAATCGAGAGGAATGTGATGAAACGTCACATAACATGACGACCCATCAAGTACATTAAGTCTGTACACTTAAACACAAGAGACGCTCTCCGTAAATTGCTCCTTTGAGATTTTATGTCAAGAGTTTTTTGAAGAGATCAACTTCAGACAAGTCATATCAGGGACATTGCCATGTATTTCTGAGTATATGTGATTATGTAAGGTTTATAGATAGAAGTATATGTGATTATGTAAGGTTTATATAAGTATATATAAGTACAGTTCTCAATGATGAGATAAATTGTCATATGAAAAGACTTAAATCATAAGCTCAGTTTAAGAATATAATTTGGCATCAAATGTTTTCAAGTTTCCTGAAGATAAGTCATGACTGAATAACAGAGCAGATTAAGTCAATGTTAGGAAGTGAGTTGTTTAAAAACAAAAAGGAAATGCGTTTTTCATTTTGTTAACTTTTTCTCCCCAAAACAATACCTTCATCATAACAGGCTGCACAGTGTGGTAGCCTTTAAATTTTTAAGTTGAACATTTAAAAATTAAAACAACATTTTATAACTCTGTTTGAGTCCAGTTGTCAGGGAACTATTTTTTAGCTTACTTTTGATACAGCAAGTTCCCCATTAGGGTCTACTGTGGTGGATTCCCGAGGAATTCATCAACTCTACCATAGCAGTAATAATGTAACTATGTTTACAACTCATTGTTTACTACTTAGTCTATCACCACTACGATTACCAGATTATAGATTTACCTGTCCAAGGTCCATTACATAACGTAACAATTCCCTAACACAGGTATAATCCATAAGCCACTCATACAAATGATCAGTCTATTATATATAAGTATTTACAATTACAGCCTGTAGAGTTAATAGGTAACCAAGGAAGTGTCTACTGTATGGTGATATTGTTTTGTTTGAGCCTCAGTCAGGCTGGTGAAATACTTGTCAGATTCAGATTATTTTATTCCTTGTGTAAGAAACATCGAAGAGTACAGTATATCACAAAACAACGATAAATATATACAATGATAGTCAAAGACAATATGATGCATATCATATAATGGCATACGTGATAACAATACAGTATATGACAATGAAATAGTCATTGATCGTGCAGTATGGCAAAATAACATACATCATAAAAATCAGTATATTACACTGTCATTATTAATGTTAGGATAGTACCAGGAAGGTTCATTCCCATAATTATAAGTGGACACATTAGTTAGACATCAGGTTGTATTATAAAGGAAGTGAAATATTGTCGTTCAATCAAATAGCATATAAAATCATCCTCAAGCAGTCACATTTAAGGATGTATGCTTCATTACCTGGTAGCTGTGAAAGAGGTGTCTCTCATAACATTTGTAATTAGTTTTTTCTTACCTGAGCATTATCAACACAGGTATAGATATTATTGTGTGGCAAATGTGTGATAAGTTTTTGAAATCTGAAAAGTGTCATCAAATATTATATAAACTTTATTTATTTTACAACAATTATGAAACAAGTTATATAACTTATATTAATCACTCTTGTCGGCCCGGATGTTGGCGCGAGGGGTTTTGGTGTGGGAGTACCCAGAGTAAACCCACATGGTTGGGCAGGTGACCCCATACCTTTTCACATCTGATTGGGGAATCGAACCCTGGTCACCTTGGTAAAAGGCAAGTGCGCTATCCACTGCGCCACCCGACCACCCAAAGATTGTGTACCATTCAAATGCATCATCAAACATGGGGTAAACCTTTTACAGCATAGAAATTATTATATATGGTAAATAAATCATAAAATAATGAAGGTTTAACTACAATAAATGTGTTAGATATAAAAGGTGAAATTTAACACAAAGCAATGAAATTATGTTCACCATCATAATTTAAAAAAACAAACATATTTGATTGTACTACACTTTTCAACGTTTCTCAGTAAGTTTTAGAAAGCATAAGATAAATGGCCTATAAATAGATGTGCTGATCTGCCCTGTGAATTAATCATGGTGTTTTCTCCTCATTATTGGCCGGTTTTGTCAGTATTTATTCACCATAAAGGAATTACATTCTAATTATTCATGGTAGCAGCAATGTCTATTGGGAAAGAACAATGGCAAGTTAGTTATTGTTACCTATTGTATAAGGTAACTAACAAGAACGAGTCTAAACCATTACACAGGTAAGTGTATCACGACAAAGTTAAATGTAATGTCACATCACATGTAAACAGAAATATACTTAACAAAAATATCCACAATCTTTTCAGGACTTGATATGTTTGCACTCTGATCATTTCAAGAATGGTGTTACCAAATTTTACATTAATTGGCTTAAATCAAGTACAACATGAATCCAGCTTTAATTATTTGGACCCATTCCAACTTCTTAGGCACTTTTGAAAGCTTATGTTGAGATCTATCAACATGCATATTGATAAGCATAACCTTATACAACAAGTCTATATGAATGCCCCATATGTACTGGAGGTCATGAATGAAATTGACAGAAGTGCAATGTATAGTATGCAGGAAAATCTACACAGTCATTAATATTGCAACAAGTATCTCACAACAGGGGAAGGTACAAAACAGCAAGTCAAACACACCAAGCATGGGCAAGGACACTTCAATAGATCTGTTACTGCCTAGGTGCTGTAACCCTACAGAAGATCTGTACTGAGACTGACAAGGTGGGCCCACTAAAGTAACTCTGATACAGACTGTCTAGTAGTCTGATACAGAGACTGGGGTAGGGCACTGGTAGGTCTGATGCACGGGGTGGGGGTGGGGACATTACAGTAACCCTAAAAATATACAGGCTGGCTTTATAGAAAGTCTAGTAAACTGGTAGGTCTGATACAGGGACTAGGGGTGGGGACATTACAGTAACCCTTATACAGGCTGGCTTTGTGGAAAGTCTAGTAAACTGGTAGGTCTGATACAGGGACTAGGGGTGGGGACATTACAGTAACCCTTATACAGGCTGGCTTTGTGGAAAGTCTAGTAAACTGGTAGGTCTGATACAGGGACTAGGGGTGGGGACATTACAGTAACCCTTATACAGGCTGGCTTTGTGGAAAGTCTAGTAAACTGGTAGGTCTGATACAGGGACTAGGGGTGGGGACATTACAGTAACCCTTATACAGGCTGGCTTTGTGGAAAGTCTAGTAAACTGGTAGGTCTGATACAGGGACTAGGGGTGGGGACATTACAGTAACCCTTATACAGGCTGGCTTTGTGGAAAGTCTAGTAAACTGGTAGGTCTGATACAGGGACTAGGGGTGGGGACATTACAGTAACCCTTATACAGGCTGGCTTTGTGGAAAGTCTAGTAAACTGGTAGGTCTGATACAGAGACTAGGGGTGGGGACATTACAGTAACCCTTATACAGGCTGGCTTTGTGGAAAGTCTAGTAAACTGGTAGGTCTGATACAGGGACTAGGGGTGGGGACATTACAGTAACCCTTATACAGGCTGGCTTTGTGGAAAGTCTAGTAAACTGGTAGGTCTGATACAGAGACTAGGGGTGGGGACATTACAGTAACCCTTATACAGGCTGGCTTTGTGGAAAGTCTAGTAAACTGGTAGGTCTGATACAGGGACTAGGGGTGGGGACATTACAGTAACCCTTATACAGGCTGGCTTTGTGGAAAGTCTAGTAAACTGGTAGGTCTGATACAGAGACTAGGGGTGGGGACATTACAGTAACCCTTATACAGGCTGGCTTTG